ATTTATATATTAATACCACACATTATATAAAATAAATATGACGGAAGATTGTAAGATATCGTTTTATGATAAATTATATGTTACAACGGAATTACACGGATGAACACACGGATCACATTAACTGTTGAGGAAAGTTGAGTGGGCTTGGGGCAGGCCATGTTGATGGCCAGTGGACAAGACTGGGTTACGGAATGACAGCCAAAGGAAAGAACACTCCTAATAGGACTAATGCGGCGGACATCGAGCACTGAGATCAGCTCACATGCGTATCTATGCGTGTGTGCGTGCATGTGTTTACATAAACTACCGTAGCTAAGACTATTACCGTAATGTGTATATATAAGATGAAGTGAAATCAGCTCGTGTGCAAGGAGTGTGAGATGCATTATGACATCGCAGTGACACGAGGGATGGCGACCGCAGCGTGGGGAGGTATTAAAGAATCCAACAGTGGGAAGACAATGGCACACTTTGATGATGATAATAATGTGACCATGGGTTTTTTTTTTGCCTGCAACGAAATAATACAATGCGCAAAGTCTACAACGCAACAGCCTGTGCACGAATAGTGGTGACGTGCATCCATTAAATAGCTTCTCCGTGACAGCTGGCTGGCAAGAACGACCCCCAACCCACCAGCCCCCGCCGTGACAAAAGGCACGGCCGAGACACGAGGTGGGACGTGGCCCGAGGCAGCCCCTAGGGCCCTAAGTCCACTAAGGCAGGTGATTTGGCTGCCCGCCCCTCCGTATACCCCGTCCCACCCACCCAACCCTTTTTCCAGCCTCTGGTGAACAATTAAGAGCCAATGTTATGAATGGCTCCAACACAAACATTTTATCAAGAAGTCAATAAATAAATAAAAATACGCCATTGTTGTATTGTAAGAATGATCACGTATCAACATCTGTTGGAACGCTCTCAAGCCATAAGCATCAATGAATTAGCGCTATCCATCTGTTTTGTCTGTCTGTCCGTCTGTCTGTAACATAGGAGGACCACGATGACGCTCGCAAAGATGGGCCAATATAAATGAAATATTAGCATTATAAAGTTGCGTTGATATTATGGACCTGATGTATCGAATTTTGACTTAGAACTTTCGTGACTGCAGGAATTCAAACTCGTGGTTCTTTTACCGAAAGAACCAAGAATATCTGATGTATCGAGTTATCGCAAAATTAATTGCTTTCGAGGACAAACACACGCTTGGAAGCATTACAGAGTGGATTGACAAACGGATTTAAATTACTGATGTTTACATAGACTGTAGGTTTTCTACATGTAGCATATATCTTCCAATATATAGACGGACGTGAATTATGTAAACTCTATCTTCTTGGTTCTTTCGGTAAAGTCACGTAGAAGGGAAGTAATAAAATAATAAAAATAAAACATAATAATTATGTTTTATAATAAAAAATAAAACATAAAATAATAATTATAATAATTATGTTTTATTTTTATTATAAAAAATCCGACCAGGTGGCAGTAGACCACGTGGCTCACAATCAGAAGGTTGCGAGTTCAATTCCTGGTTGGAGGTCGACTCATCCCATCATCTCTTCAGGGGTCGTTAAAATAGATACCACGATCTACGTATTAAAAAGCCCTATATTTTAAAAACCTACATTTTAAGTGCCACATTGTGGGGGAGTCAACAGTGGTGGTCCTCTTCTTGGTTCTTTCGGTAAAGTCACGTAGAAGGGAAATAATAAAATAATAAAAATAAAACATTTATTATTCTCACGTTTCGGCCACAACGCAAGCAGCCGTTTTTCACCTGAGGACGGCTGCTTGCGTTGTGGCCGAAACGTCGTGAGAATTATTATGTTTTATTTTTATTATTTTATTACTTCCCTTCTACGTGACTTTACCGAAAGAACCAAGAAGATGAATCCCTGTAGTCACGAAAGCTTTAAATCGAGATGTAAACTCTAATAATGTTCCAGAAAAGGCTAATAATGAGAGACGTGGCCGACACAACGTGGAGGAAGGGTCCATCATCCAGCAACGGATTGGCAAAGTTGCTGTACATGTACACATGGACGCATGTCCACAACCCCCTTACAATTTTAAAACAGCCGAGATACAAAAGTAAACGGAAAAGTACGATATCTAGTATTTGTTTTGGACACGAGTTCTTTTGACAATACCGCTAGAACTGGGTTGAGCCAGAGAAAAACTGGCTCAGTCCAGGAGGGCGTGGGGATTTTTGTGTGTATTTTAAATAGCTGTGTGCTTTAACACGTAGGCGTTCGCGAAAAATATCATCCATAATACAAGTTTTTTTGGGTTATATCGCGTAAATATATAAATGTGTCGTTAAACCTGCCACCACCCGACACAGGCAATTGGTAAGGTTTGGCACGTTAACAGAACGTGGCCAATTCCGTCACTAGTACAGCACACCGGTGTGTTGGAGAGCCAAGCCACAACATTTACAATCTGAGTACGACGTTTCGCCAAGCCACAACATTGGCGAATCGTCGTACTCAGATTGTAAATGTAATTACTGGCGAAACGTCGTACTCAGATGGTAAATATTGTGGCTTGGCTCTCCAACACACCGGTGTGCTGTACTAGTAACGAATTGGCACGTTCTGTTTACGTGACAAGCCTTACTAGTTGGCTGTGTCGGGTGGTGGAGGGTTTAACGCCACATATATTTACACGATTTAATCCCCCCAAAAAAACCTGTATTATGATAGCTGTGCGCTGTCGGTTCATTTCTTGAAATAAATCAGAAGTTGGCAAAAAACGAGAACCTAGCCACGTCACAACTTGCTTCAACGTGTTGTTGTTAGGCAAGTGTTACGGGGACTCATTCTCTAGATTTTTCAGATGTATTGGCAGGGACTGCCCTGAAGTGCCATGACACGGACTACACCCACCGATAAAATGTGGCATACCAACATCTTTTGTTGAGTAACCCTGACTAAACATACTGTAATTTATCAGTCCATCAGCATATATGGGCTTTCCAGACCAATATTACCCAACAGGATTTAATATGCAAGGCAAAAAAAAACAACACTCTAGACTGGTATTGGACATGTTTCTGTCTCGTTCGCAGAAGCAGGTTGAGTTATCACCCGTGTAACTGTTAATATCCAACACACGTTGGAGGAAAAACATGTCTGGGTCTGACTATGATGTAAATTATGCGTCGTGCTAAACTGCACGACACTACATTACTTACAGCACACGGCATCTGTTTATTTAGGTCTTACAGTGACCTCTAGTGGTGGTAAACTCATCGTATGACAACCAAAACCGCTATACCGAATTAAACAAATCCTCTGTGCACACAGGACGTTATAAATGTTCGTGAACGTATATGCCCGTAAAATGCATATCGTATTCTCAGGTGTCAGTATAGTAGCAATGTTCAGACGGAGTGACGAAATCAACTCGTGTGCAGGTGTTAGGTGGGGAGCATTAACATGGCTTGGGAAGACATCCATCCAGCAGTGGATTGACCACGGTTATGACGATGTCACAGATAAACGACAGTGAGTGGTTGTGCAAAACGTGTACTCACCTCTGTGGCAACCAGACGTAAGTAGCGTCACTGCTTGAGACAAAACGTCCAGTGGTGTCTCGGTCATCCTTCATCGGCTAGAACATTCAAATAAGGCGAATTGTCACTCACGATGTAGCAAGCAAAGTAGCCGGAGAACTCGTCTTGTCACCTCTCCTTATCCCACTCATCGTCTCGTATGCGCCATCACTCTGCGAATTAGTCTCCCTCCTGGCCTCTTTTCAGGACTACTCAGTAAGCAGCCCATTGCATCGACTCGGATCTCAAAACTTCCAACCGGACCAGACCCTTTTGTCAGAACACAAAACTAATTCGTTTGCCACCCAAAGTGGCACCAGTAACCACGTAAATATCCGCACGCACACACACACACACCAGAGTTTGAGATGTGGGGACAAAAGTCCCAAGCAGCACGTCTTTTACCTGCTACTGCTGCTGATGCCTTGGCCACAAAACCCCAAAGTTGGCAGACCGTAATTAATGGTGGGGGATGGAAAGAAAAGGAGACAGAGAGAGAGAGAGAGAAAGAAAGAACTCCCCGCCAACGGCACGGCTTGCGATGTGAGCGATGCATGGAATGCGGGGATGCCTAGGGCAGGTGACCCAGAGAGGCGACCGCCATTGGCTGCCCCAGTGTTTCTATTGTGCCTGGCTGCATGCAAATGATGGACCACGGGGTGCTTGGCAGGGCCACACTGGGCACACAGCCATGGCAGCATCACACAGCGTGACCATTGTTGCAAGGGGTGGTTGGTTTAGTGAGGCCCCCTACAAAATGTCACCGCAGTGTTCGCTTTCCCGAGGACGAATGTTACATCTGAAAGTGGATTGCGAGGTTGAAATGTCGACGAAGATCTTAAGACAGTAAAGTCGTGTAACATCCATGATTTGCATGTTTCTTTGGTCACCATTGCAAAAAGAGACTGTCATGGCGTATTGCTTCGTGAAACAAGTTAATGTCTATTATTTTAGGCACATAAAAGTGTTCGGTTTATTTTAGTACAGCTGGATTATACATTTATTGTTATAAAGCACAGTAATGTAAATATTAAGCTTTTAGTCAATTGAAAAAAATCTCACGTGATCCAATGAAACATTATTTTGCCCAATGTATTTAGTGTGTATTTCAGATTGTACCACGGCATGTTTCGCTACACGTGTTGAACTGAATTCAAGAAACTCCCAGCACGTTAACCGAAATGTCAGAAGTGCAACTTGCTGTACCACGAAAAAACACATCACAAGATACCGTACAACTGCGGTAACCTACCCTGCTGTATTTACACTGATAAATCTTCTCACTTTTTCAAAAGGCATTGCGACTGAACCCTTTTGTGGAACACTGAATATTATACCCTGCTCCAGTTCTTTGTGTTTCGCCAACACCAAACACTATATAGCACTGTATACAGTTGATGTACCGGTTCACAGGAAACCATTTGTTCATTAAACACCATGATTTTTATAATTTTATTCAGTTATGACAGTATTTACAGTTTGAAGCAAAAGCAGGTAAATACAATATATGGTATATCACAACACTACAACATTTGCCAACCCCATTGGAAAAAAGAAAACATCATTGAGAATTCACAGATGCCAATGTAATTTATTGGCACAAAATAACACCGTGGTTAGAAACACGTTTGGTCACTTCTTCTGTAATGCCCGCTTTCCTTCTCCCTTCTTTGGCTTCCCTTTCCCCCGAAGTTTCTTGAGTCTCTTCATCTCTTCCCTGAAATCCTCGTGTTCATCTCTGAAACAACAAAGTTTCACCGTAGGACCATCAACCATGTCTCAGACATACTCATTACAGATTTACAAACATTACAAACATCACTCAAAGAAAGCCAAAGGAAAGTGTTAACAATAGACATGTTATGATGAACCTACTTTCAAACTAAATTGTAAAATCTTTGGCTGCCAATAGATGATTTTGTCTCTTTACCACCACATTTGCATTGTTTCTATTTTTAGTCTCGTTTGTATAATTTTGTTCAACGCATTGGTCTAAGTCATCCTGCTATCTAACAACCCATCGAGCACCTGGCCACAAGCTGATTTAATCACTCTATATATTACAGTAGATGTTCTCTTTGATTCTCTTGGGCATGTTCCCTCCGTTGCCTACCACTCGGTTGTTACTCTCGACCATTGTCTATCATCCCATCGAAATTTGCTGCTAGTAACTATGTGACCAAAGGTGTGAAACAAATGGTTCATCCGTGAGCTAAGACAAGGACAGCTGCCCACCTGTAGAGGCCATGGAAGCGCAGGGTACGCATGAGCTGCGAGTACTCCTGGTGCGCTGGATAGTAGTTGACCACGTCCGGCTGCTTGGCCATGGGCCTCTCACTCATCAATGACACCACCTTCATAGAGGGTGCGTCGGTGGGCCGCGCCACCTCGCCGAAGATGCGTGCACTCAGCCTTGCCATGCGGCGCGCATAGTTGCTCAAGGTTGGAATCGCCGCCATGTGTCCTGACAGCCAGTCTGCACTCGATGGACACAGATGGACATTGAGTCATGCTCAGGGCACGCATGGGGCACGCATGGGGCAGTGGCTCTTGCGGAAGTGTTTGCCACTTGCTGCAGAGGCACACGGTTCGACTGACAGACCACCCTGATTCAGTCGGCTTTAGAGTGGGTGTTAAAGATCTCGTAACGGAATTATGGTCCAATTTTTTTTAATTACTCGCAGATTAGTTACATTAACTGGGAAACACTTATCAATCATTGCTCCCTGAATGCAAATAACATGACCTTCCTAGAAAGGTCTTAACACAGTGAGGCTTTCCTAGGTTTACGATAACACTTGGTGGACATATTCTTTGGTGGCCAGTTGCATGACACATTTTAGCCTTAGTTTGCCATACACAGTATTAAATCACGAAATGTGTTTTTATGCAACCAGTCAGATGCCTGTGGTTCGTTGAATAAAATATCCTCAGTGTCACTTGGTTTGCAATGTAAATCAGTGTGATCTAACAATCTAACTAAGGGTTTGCTTTCTCAAGTGACAATGGCAGGTCAAATTTCTGATCTGGACCAAAGATTATATAACTCGGCAAAGCACTCAACTGCAGGGTTTCGACTGCAAGGCAGTTGCTCTAAGCATTGAGGGCTGAGAAAGCATCAACTTTACATTTCAACATGGCAGGTTACATTTGGAATTCCAAATTCGCATGCTTGTTTTTGTTGTAATATGGTTCGTATTCATCTTCTTGGTTCTTTCGGTAAAGTCACGTAGAAGGGAAGTAATAAAATAATAAAAATAAAACATAATAAAACAATTCTCACGACGTTTCGGCCACAACGCAAGCAGCCGTCCTTGCGTTGTGGCCGAAACGTCGTGAGAATTGTTTTATTATGTTTTATTTTTATTATTTTATTACTTCCCTTCTACGTGACTTTACCGAAAGAACCAAGAAGATGAATCCCTGCAGTCAACAAAAAGCTTTAAATCGAAAAATGGTTCGTATTGGTGAGAATGTATTCTCAATGCAGTATTCTATGCAAAATCTGAATTACTACTGTACAGCATTCTTAATCGGTTATCCAATGAACTTTTTATTTAAATAGCAGAAACACTGATAATTGTTTTTTTACCCTTCTATCTGGCAACAAAACTGACACCTTTTTACAAGGAGTCATGTTTGCATAGACCACAATACCTGCAGTCATAAAGCAAGCAAAAAACATAACTCTGATAATGTGCACTGTCGATTTAAAGCTTTCGTGAATGCAGGGATTCATCTTCTTGGTTCTTTCGGTAGTCACGTAGAAGGAAAGTAATAAAATAATAAAAATAAAACAGACGGCTGCTTGCGTTGTAGCCGAAACGTCGTGAGAATTATTTTATGTTTTATTTTTATTATGTTATTACTTCCCTTCTACGTGACTTTACCGAAAGAACCAAGAAGATGCGCACTGTCCTTGAAGTTGATTGGTCCACACAACTTTCCTTAGAGTCTAGTCTCACATGGGTTGGACCAGATGACGCCTTTTCGTCATCTGGTATTGTGGTCTATGCAAACATGACTCCTTGTAAAAAGGTGTCAGTTTTGTTGCCAGATAGAAGGGTAAAAAACCAATTATCATATTTTTACTGGCAAATGAGGTTCCCATGGAAGGGTGGACAGATCCACGTTCCATCGCCGCCTTTGAGTCTCCCCACAGTGCTGACGCTTACAAAGTCGCAGCAGATACCACTGCTCATTTAAGGCAGAGTGGACATGGAATCCAACCCAGGTGGGGCAGTTTCAGTTGCGCAGTGTGCTAACCACTGAGCCACCTCTTGATGAGCTGCACACTCCCCGGGTTGCACAAACACAGCCTCTTTGTTAATCCACTGCTGGATGAGGGCCTCCTCACGCAGTGTCGGTCGTGGTGGTGGTTATTTGACCATACTTCACCACTCTGGTCAATGCTGACTAAAGGCGGAGGAAGCATGGTACAGTACAATAGATTGACATCGCTCACTCGGATAACAAAACGAAGACATAAACGCAGCAGCAAATAAAGATGCACACATTCTTGGTTCTTTCGGTAAAGTCACGTAGAAGGGAAGTATAAAATAATAAAAATAAACAACGCAAGCGTTGTAGCCGAAACGTCGTGAGAATTATTTTATGTTTTATTTTTTATTATTTCATTACTTCCCTTCTCCGTGACTTTACCGAAAGAACCAAGAAGATGAATCCCTGCAGTCACGAAAGCTTTAAATCGAAAGATGCACACATTAGACCTTTAAGATTATTCAACGTTAAAAAGTAATAATACCCTGCAGCTCAAACAGTGCGAACGGTGAGCGCATACCAATTGGTGTCAACGCGCACGAATTTCAGTTTCATTTATTTGGTATAGCCCTGAGAGCATACTTTGACAAACTACGGTGTGCATATTTAGCTTAATTTTCTAATTCAACGTTAGCAACAACGATAATGGTAATGGTTATCCGTATCGTTAACGTCTCGTTACCCCCCGACTTTACCCGATGACGGCCTTGGTGAGGGCGTGCGGTGACCTCCACACGTGCGGACACGACCCGGAAGCGAAACACTTCCGCGATAAATTGTTCGCCACGGAATTTTTCGTTTTAGATTAAAATTTTAGTGGATATTTTTTTATTTTCTCAACCAAACCAGACGATAATTAATCGATCGGATAGAAAACAAACACAAAATAAATTTTTATTTCGAAAACTTCCTGTTTAAGAGTCGTGCGCCGTGTTTGACCTTTCACCTCCGACCCCCACCCCGGTCGTGATTCCGTGAAGAGAAAAGCGCGCGAGTTGAGGTTTTAATTTTGCTGCGCGATCACGGCGAGATCGTCCCAAACGTCACCATTCTAACATTATATATACACATAGTCCTGTTAATAGAGGATGAGTGACTCCCTGTGTTGGGGTGAGCCTACATAACGCGTACAGGTGAGCTTATATAACGCGTACAGGTGAGCTTACGCAACATAAGGGCTCACTCACACTGCGAGATGATGAGCTTACTAAATCCGGTAAAGGCATGAATTATCTTACTTAGTAGGCATGAGATTAATGCAGTTGTGGGTGTGGAGCTCACCGTGTGGTGAGATGAACACAGTTGTAGGTGGGGTGAACTTGCCACAGGTGGCACGGGTTGAGTGAGACTATTACTCTTGTGTGTGTGTGTGAGCTTGCTTACTACCAGAGTACAGGGTGAGAAGCTTTTCTCCATGTGCGTGGTGGTGTGGTGAGATTAATAGAGAGGAGCTCACTGGTGAGGCGCTTTGTGAAGAGCGTAAGGCGTTGTTTGGTGAGCGTGGACCATTGTGAGGAACTTGATATCGACTATTGTGTGAGCTGCTCGAACATAGCTTATCGAATATATGGGTCAGACATCGATAAGCAGACTATGTATCTGTCCGCATTTTTTAAAAAATATACATTTTTTTACACAGACCATCAGTGAGTGCATAATTTCGACGGCGTGGAGCACAGGACATGCAAACTTGACCGGCTTGGACCTTCGGTTGTCTCATCAGCAGTCGGGCTTGGTTGAATCGATGCCAATGAACCGCCTCTGATGTTAGAGGTAAGGTCGCCTTGACGAAACGCTTCTTGTGTATAGAGGATGAAGCCCTAAGGAGGGTTAGGAGCCCTAGTGTCGTATACTCTAGAGAATGTATAGATGTATAATTAGCGCCTTATTCCAAAGCGCTTTGCAGCAGTTTTCACATTGTATGTACAATGATAGTGGTTCAGATAATGGGTGGGATTTTTAAAAGTGGTCGTGGTGACAGGAGAACACAATACCTGTCAACCCCTTGATCAGTGGCTACCTTATTACAGATCAATTCAGACCTTATTGATAACCCTGTGCTCTTATAAATCTCAGCGTTCATCCTGCAAAGTCCCATCACAAGGGAGAAACACAAACAAACAAAACAATAGTTTTTGCCCGTATTGAAACGGCTGTACACCGTATGGACGTGAAAACGCAATTTCCCTGTACAAGAACACGGGGTAAACCGTGGGTTGGCGGGTATGAGAGCAGGTATGTATGTACTGTGTGTATGTTGAACTTCTTTTGCACACTACGTAGGTTAAGGAGGGGTTGGGGTTAGACCTGCTCACAGCTGGGGGGCAGGTGGAAAGCATGATGGGCCTGGGAGAAGAGATGGGTTTTAAGTGAGGAACAGAAAGTAGGTTATGTCGAGGAGCTCACTTATATTCTTAGTACACCAGATTACATTTACAGGGCGGTCCAGATGTCTTGTGACCCCCCCCCCCCCCCCCCCCAATTAATTGACCCCAAATTGTGTTTCTCCCTTTGCATATTCATCTCTGTTTTAAATAAACCTTCCTTCAAAAAGATTACGTTTTAGATAATTAAATGGGGATCACACGACATCTGGACCACCCTGTTGTATTGTTTATTACTGCAGTAGATTATATTGAGCGTGGTGAGGTGTGGTCAAATAAGCTAACCACGATCCGCAGGCTTGAGGAGGCCCTCGTCCTGCGCTGGCTTTCCAAAGGGTTGTTAATGTGCATACACGCCGAATATATTTGGTGGGGTTAGGAATGTGTTTAAATACATTTTACTCTCCACGTCATGACTACTGTTTTTGATTTGGCAGTGATGCACCCATCATCACTGGCATTACCTGCAGAGTGGTGGAGACAGGACACTCTTCACAGGTAAACACATCCCATTCATTTGCCGTGTGCATTAACTCGCTCTCCTCTACTACTTCAGCCCACGGGTGTGTTGGAGAGTAAATCCACGACATCGACAACTTGAGCACGACGTTTTGCTGGTAATTGCATCCAGCGTCGGGCGATTTGCCAGAATAGAAAGCCTATGTGTTACACTTAAAATGAGATTTGAATTCAACTAAAAACAATTATTATCCATGAAAGAAATTACTTTATGTATTCGCCAACACCAAACCATGAAGGCCAAGTTTCAAGTTTGTTTTGTTGTTAGACCAGGTGAGAAAGCAAGAGACCAAGATAGCCTGATTTGCAGTTGGCTTCCATTGAGAGTAAACATTCTTAGTACTTTGAATAAACCTGTTCTATCTTTTGATTTAAAGCTTTCGTGACTTCAGGGATTCATATTCTTGGTTCTTTCGGTAGAGTCACGTAGAAGGGAAACAATAAAATATAAAAAATATAAATCTCACGACGTTTCCACTTCAACACAAGCAATCATCATCAGGTGTGAAAAACAGCAAGAAAAAGTGGCGGTTTTTTCTTAACGTTAGCACCACGGACAGCGATTTTGGCAGTTATATCTTTTCAACTGTTCCTGTTTTAAATTATTTAAATAGCCTGCACGCCTTTGTTTATGCAGGTGGTGACAACAATTAGGTGGTGTCACATCTCCACAACACTCGCCACAATGGCGGTTAACAAAAAGGCGAATAATGGTGTATGAAACTCAATTCCTTGCCCCGTCTTCCCCTCTGGCTGCAGTGATGAATGGCAAGCTCATACCATACACGCCACTGGCTGTGGATTTGTGGCGGGTGGCCAAGTTCCCCGAGGCGAGGATTTTCTTCCTGAGCCATATGCACGCCGATCACACAAGTGGACTCACCCCGACTTGGAGCCGGCCAATCTACTGCTCTCCCATCACCGCCGTGCTCCTCAAACACAAATTTAACGTACGCGCACGCGCCTCACTTGCTCACAGAAGTTGGCGGTCTGTCTTTTTTTAAATGTGCCCCAGGCGGTCACCTGATATTAGTCATGTACGAAAGCCAAACGGACTGTTTTATGTTTAGCTTATAACGTTAGGTTAAGGAATGATGGTCATTGGTTAAGACTAACAATGCATTCGCAGCCAATGGAGAGAACACTTTGGAGAATAAGTCCCAGCGCGGAGATGGAGCAATGAAATTGGCTGGTGTACAGGTGCTAGTTGGGTTCTTTCAGTACAGGACCATGAGCTATGGTGAAGGCCTGCTGAGGTCTTCATCCAGCAGTGGATTAATCGCGGCTGATGATTATGGTCACTGGCGGAGCCAGTGGGGGGGTGGGGTGGTACGTGCCCCCCCCCCCCCCCCAATGATCCCATCGAAATCCCTAATTTCGATCGGATCATTGGGGTTAATTAGTAATAAAGCGGCATTTTGCGACCCCCAACTGCCACTGCGTAGCATATTATTACGTGCCAGGGACTCTATGAGATGATAGGACAATAGTCTGAGTCCATAATTGGCAATAATTAACAGCAAAGGAGTTATAAATGACTCAGAATTGTGAGCAGTCGCGTATACAGTACACAGCTTCCCTGAAGGCAAACACCTTCAGCGAGCGCGATGCCGATCACACACGGTTCGAATTCGACCCTCGATCGATGGCTGCGCCATCGCCGCATACGCGTCGAATAAAAAGCAAGGGACAAGTCCTTACTTACTAACAACTCATATCATTTTTCATTGCCGGAGGGGTTGCCCCCTCTACCTGAAAATCCTGGCTGCGCCATTGCTTATGGTATTTAAGGAATATTTAGGTGCAGCCTCCGAATTATTTTTTTCCACATAAACCATTATTAATGTATAAATACAAATATATATATAACAAATAGCTTGGACACTGGCCTTTCAGAGGCAGATGATTGGTATAATTAGAGGTAATGTTCTATAATTTTGGGACTAAAATAAAAAAAATTGAGTTCCATTAACAGATTTAAATGCCATTTTATCAAAATAGAATGTGAGTGCATGAAATTCATTTCGTGAAAAAATGCATAATTTATAGAGCTGGGCATGGTGACAAGTATTTATAATGCTGTGGAGGTTTGTGAAATCTCCCAAACTCGCTGAACTGTGTGTTGGTCATGAGGTTGCAGTTGAGAAAATGATTTGTGAACCCATCTGTGCAGAAGGTTGAGTATTTTCTCCATTATAAGCATGGGATTTCCCTGGTTACTCCATCCAGTTTCTACCCACATTAAAAAATATTTCGTTAATGTGGCAGTGGCCAAACGTTGGACCCTCCTAAAAAAAAGTCGTTAGATGAGGTAAGATACAATAAATAAATTGATGAGAATGCCAGTGCAGTGTTTTCTAGGAGGAACATGAATTACAGTACATCACCATGAAAATAACACGTGTTTGTACATACACTGCACGTGTGTGAGAGATAATCGAGCATTGTGTGACGGCGATGTTAAAACGATCTGTTTAGATTGCTGACAAGTTCATTCGCCCGCTGGAGCTGGGAGAGAGCCACTGTGTGCCCTTAGATGGAGTGGGCAAGGAGACGATGACGGTGACACTCATTGATGCCAACCACTGCCCGGGTGCCGTCATGTTTCTGTTCCAAGGTTACTTTGGCAACATTCTGTACACAGGTATGTGTGGTGTGTGATTTGAAAGAAATACATTTTAATAGCTTCCAGAATATAACCCCACATGCTTGGTTAAATTCATGTGGTGCTAACTAGTGGAGGTACGATTGACTGCATGACAACAATTGTAATAATTCGTGAAATTGTAGTTGTTACTCTGCATCTACATCAGCCATACGAAAGAAGATGAGTGATTCGATTCAAGATTTTTTTTTTTTACATTTAATGGACACAAATGACCACAGTGATTATATGAATCACATCACATACAACTATTGAAATCGATACACTTAAATTGTTATAAAATGTCATGGGACCTCCTGTGCCAGTACCAAAATATGATAATATGTTTTTCCCCTTTTTCTGGCAACATAACAGGTGTTAAGATGTTAAAACACCAAACTGAAACCTTTTACAAGGAATCATGTCTGCATTAACCACAATACTTGTGGTCAGAATGCAAAGAAAAAACATACTCTGATAAGAAATGCATTGTTTTTTAAACGGATTGGTCCACACCAGCGACAGCTTTCTTTGGAACCGAGTCTCAAAAGGTGTTAGACGCCTTTTGGCGTCATCTGGTCTAACACCGTTTGAGACGAGGCTCAAAAGAAAGCCGTCTCTGGTGTGGACCAATCCGTTTCAAGGACAATGCATATATTATCAGAGTATTTTTTTGTTTGCATTCTGACTACAAGCATTGTGGTTAATGCAGACATAATTCCTTGTAAAAGGTTTCAGTTTGGTGTTTTAACATCTTAACACCTGTTTTGTTGCCAGAAAAAAGAGGAAAAACCTATTATCATGTTATACAATGCATATCGTTTTAGCTTAACAATCGACGTTGATATATCAAAGCCTGGTTACACCTCAGATACCAACTATGTCTGGAAAGTGTGAACCTATGCTTCTACACATATCAAATATTTAATTTAGAAACATGAGCACTCATTAAGCTCTATTTTTAAGCAATGATACAAATATATCAAAATATTTTTCTTGTTCTCTTATGTTCATGAATTAAAGTTTTCATTTGATGGATTCTGATTGGTGCTCAAACTATAGACTCAAAATGTGTTTAATTTAATGAGAGTTTGTATACTTACAAATGCGAGACTTATTTAGTGACTCTATTTTGAATGTTGGCCCTTTGCTGTAGATAAGAAAAACTGCTTGTACATTGAGCATTCATTCTCTTGATTTAAATGATTATTTGGCGTTTTGCAGGTGATTTTAGGTTTATTCCAGAGATGCTTAAGCTGCCTCTGCTGCAAACCAATATTATCATCGATGTTCTGTACTTGGATAACACATACTGCCCTTCAAAGTGGCACTTTCCTTCACGAGAAGATGCCACAGAAGAGATCAAGATAATAATACGAAACCACCCAGACCATCAGGTTGTCATCGGTATGACTTGGTTTTCTTCATATAACAACTTTCATTTCAATGCATGAAATTGCAACACACACAGCCACTATTCACCCCTCATGGAGACTTAGGTTTATTTCTGCACCTTTTTTGGTTCTTACCTGGTGGGAATTGAGTTCCAGTGCTTTTTATAAACCCCTTGTTATGAAATATGGTTATTCGATTATATCAGTAATGAGTGACTCTTTGTATAACATTATCTTTTTCTTAATGACAATGGGTGGATATTGCATTACCTTAGTATATCATCCATGTTAAAAACACTACTCATGTTCAGTAGAAACTTGGGATATGAAAAACAGTATATCGATGAAAAGGGCATAATTTAAAACACAAATTCCTTTCTGCTACTACTCATCTTTTCACGGTTGTTCTGTATAGCCCTTTGGTGTGTATTGTTCAGCACAATGTCCTACATTTCACTGTCCGTTCTAGGAGCTTCTTCAAGATCCGAATTCTCTTTTGTGTAGGCATATATTCACTCGGGAAAGAGTCTCTGCTGGTAGAGCTGGCAATGGAGTTTGGGTGGCTGGGGGTAAGTCCAGAACGCATGGAGACGCTGCAGCTGCTTGGCCTGCCCAACGTGTTCACGACGGCCATAGAGGAGTGCCGCTTACGGGTCGTGGACGCACACCAATTGAACAGCCGCAGCGTGGCACACTGGAACTGCGAGTGGCCCACCATCGCTGTGCTGCCTTCAGGCAACCGTGCCGGCCGCCAGTCGTGCGACTCCATTTTCATCGTACCCTACTCGGACCACTCCTCTTACGGCGAGCTGCGCCAATTTGTCGCCGGGCTGCAGCCGCGAGCCATCGTGCCCATCGTCAAGGGGCCCAGTTGCGAGGGATACTTCAGGGAGTTCCTCAGCACCGCGCAGAGCAGCCAGAGTATCATTATTCCGGAGTCGGTGCAGAGGTTCATGCAGGAAGGCGGGGTTTCTGCCTGCAGTAATAATTGTTTGCCGAAAAGGAGAGCGCAGATTTTTCGGACCTCCAGAACGCACATCCCCAAGGGGGTTTGCTTTGACAGTCCAAAATCTTCAATTGCAAAACATTCGCCTCCACGTGTCATAATTTCAAGTTCTGAGGATGACGATGAAGCTGGCGATTATGATTCCATGCGTGTTGTAAAAAATGAAGATGACAAGTCCTTTACCTTGCCTTCTGAATCTATTGCAATCCAGTTAAGCTTTGAGAATGGTAACATAAGTGATTCAAAATCGACCAAAGTAATCATGGACACAAAGTCTTTCTACAAGTCAACTGTTGAGGCTTCAGTTCATTCACATGCCCATAAATCTAGAGTGAAAAGGAAACTTGATTGTGCAGAAAGTCTGAGCTCGGAGTCCTTCACAAAGCATGCAACATGCGTCGAAGATAAATGCTCTTTTGACTCGTTGCCTCCCCCTTCACGGCGGCCGTATGACGGCAAAGGCGACCGGCAAGGTGCATCGAGCGAAGCGCGCGTTTTAACAAACTCTCCTAAATCCGCTGATGGTCCCTGTCTTGTTGGTGCACTTTCGTGCAAGAGTGAGGACCATCCTGTGGACTTTCACACACCATTGATGGGTGGCAGACTTTCTGTTATTCTCAAGAGAAAAGTGCAGAGCTGCAGCCAGACCCAGGCTGGAAAATGTAACCTCATATTGTCCCCACTTCATGCCTTTTTGAGTGAAAAGGAGAAGAGGTTGCGCTTTAATCGACTTGTGGAGAAGTGCATGCAGCAGAGGAAATGAACGCACCGTTAGGTGGCGTCTTGCTGGAGCAAGCAGGTTAATTCTGCAAACGAAACTAGCATAACTTTCTATAAACGTATTATACTGTACATGTGTAATTAAATTATTAACTGTGTTTTTGTTTTTAAACTTGTTTTCATTGTTTGCATTATTTACAGCATAACTTTGTTTTTTTTTACACGTTTAAAAGTTGTATTTGTGGGGATTAAAGGACTTGTTCACACTGAAGGGTCATTGCAAAACGCTTCCCGAATTCAATTTCATAATTCACCCGCTCATCTCTGGTACAGAAGCACACGCAGGGGTAGGTAATGGTTACATGCTTGAATCACCAATTTCTCCTTTACAAAGGGGTGTGAGGTACACACGTCTTTCATCATCATAAAGGACACAAGTCTGGCCATCGTCAATATAGAACTCGCCCGGGTGTATTCATGTTTCACGTAACATAGCCACCCACATTACATGAGGGATTTGGTGGGGGTGCCGAGTGGAACGTTGAAAGGGGGCGTTTTTGCTCGGTCACTGCATTTGTTGGTCTGTTCAATAAATACCTGAAAAGAATAAACACGGGTCTGGAACTTCTCTACAACTACTGTGATTTTAAAACATGTAATGCTTTGTATATCTGCTTTGGGCCATACATTTGGGATGGCTCAAAAAGTATGTGAAATCTTCAATGTGCCATGTCCAGTTAAAAATGAAAACAATTTCAAAATTACTTGTTGACGTGAAAAAGTTTACTAAAAAAAGACCGAAACGAATTACAAAGTTCTATATATGCCATACGACCTTATAAAACGTGGGAAATGCTCCATGTACACAACAGTAAATTTAACATTTGCACAATAAGCATTGATGTCTAAAACAAAATAAATTATGAAAACATTCCAAACGTATGTGCATTTAACCGACATGATGCCTATGCCTGGGTGAAACGGCTCGGTGATTCGCGAACGACGCTATGAATCAAGACATTTTTAAAAAGTTAAATTCCTGGCTATGGCCGGCACGTGTTGGAGATATTCTGCAGTGGATTCACAAAAATGGCAGTAAATTATAAAGTTTTGGCGACTGACAACAGTGCACCGTTTAATTGTATACGTAGGCTTGCACGACCAATATAATTAATAATTTATTTTTTGTAGGTATGCCAGTTTTTTAACGACAAATTGGTGTACCTTCAAAATCAAATCCAAAAAGAAACCCCAATTAGTTCATACCTTGTTAAACATTTCTACTGTCAGGTGCTGGAAGCTTGCAGACACCCAAGAGGAATATACCCAAGAACGATTTAATTTAATGTACCGCATGTTTCTCCTATCAAAACGTATGCATATTGTCCAGCTTAAAAGACAAATTAGACGTCCGGTTAATCCATGAAATCGTGGACTTTGATTCACGAGGCTTGCCATTGACCAGCATACGATAAAGCTCTCGTACAGATGTTTATAATTCTATGTAATGGATTTCGATTTAAAGCTTTCGTGACTGCAGGGATTCATCTTCTTGGTTCTTTCGGTAAAGTCACGTAGAAGGGAAGCACACGGGCTTAGAGCATATATATAAGCTGGGCGCAGCTTATATATATGCTCTAAGCCCGTGTGCTGTTTCATTCAGACTCTGTCGCCTCGACGGACCTGGTTTTCACCTGAGGACGGCTGCTTGCGTTGTGGCCGAAACGTCGTGAGAATTGTTTTATTATGTTTTATTTTTATTATTTTATTACTTCCCTTCTATGTAATGGCTTAAATAGGGTGGCATGTCTTCTGCAGGGCTGTGTTGCATCCGGCTACTGCTTTTCACGGTTGCTGTTGTTCGTGCGCTGCCTCCTGTGATTGTGAAGGATGTGCGATGAGCCGCGCAAACTCGCCCGGAACGCACCTGCAGGACATCAGAATCAGTCATCAGCCACATAATACTTAACAGCCTCGCACGTAACCGCTGTGTTGCTTTAGCGTGAGTCTTCACAGTAACGTATTGAATGTACAGCTTGGTCCAGATGTCTTGTGGCCCCAAATTAAGTGAACTCTCATTTTAGTGTTGCCATTGCATATTCATTTCTGTTTTGAATAAATCTTTAAAATATATAAAGTTTTAGAGAATACAATTTTGACTTAACATTTTCGTGACTGCAGGAATTCATATTCTATGGTTCTTTCGGTAAAGTCATGTAGATAGAATGTTTTTTTTTATATCGACGTGACTTTTTGGAGAATTGGTGGTCACAAGATATCTGGACCGCCCTGTACATTAGAAGCGATTGGGTGGCTCAAGAGCCAGACCACTGGACCAGCACTGTTGAGGTCCCGAGTTTGATTCCAGGGTTCAACCAATCTGTGATACTGGTAGGAACCTGCTGGTTACACCAGCCCACAGGGGATTATGGTGTCCGTCCGTCGTGCAGGGAGGTGCTGGGTGGGGAGGGAGGGGTAGGGTGGGGCTGGGTGGGGGGTGGGAGGGGTGGGGCTGGGTGGGGAGGGGCTGGTCCTCCCGTGGTGCACTTATAGAACTCAACGTTTAACCTACTCACGCCGGCTTGTGCCCGCCCTCACAGTCGGGCATATTTGCGGAATACACCACGCCGCCGTTGACCCTGGCCATTGACCGAGCAACCCAACGTTCCTACCAGCTCCCTCCGCAAGGAATGTGTTTAAACTCGGTTCAACAATTGCTTAGAGTTGACGGTCTGAGCCCAGTCAATAATGAGTGCACAAAAACTCGGAGCTTAATTTGGGGTCTCTCTTCATTTGGCACTCAAGCATTACGACTTCAAAAAGGCAAAACACGCAACACATTTAGTAATCACGATGTACATGCACGGCCCGTTTGTCAATCCACTGCTGGATGAGGGCCTCTATGCCGCGCAGTCAGAGGGCGTATTTGATCATACGTAACCATGCTGATAGGTGCGGGGAGTACAGAACAATACTTTGCAGCACTGCCCTCTGCTGCACACAATGTGTTATTCATGGACATCGCCCATCCAGGCACACTCACCTTAAATCTGTGCTGAGCATTCAACGTCTGACGGAATCTAGCGCATTCCATGTGGTTTTGTTTTCGCTACGGCAAGTAATTAGAATTCTTGAATTACAACCAAACATACCACGAGAAGCTCAATGAGCAAACATTGTTATTTTGTCAATTTATTCTGCAGGTGTGATGTTTAACGGCGGGATCGCGTGACATCAAACAGGTGTGCGAATTGCAATATTCTGCTGTACATATTATTCTAGATTTGAAGCTTTCGTGACTGCAAGGATTCATACTCTTAGGTTTTTTCGGTAAAGTCACGTAGGTAAAAAAAGAATATAATAAAATAATAATAAATGAAAATAACTAAATTAAATCACGACGTTTCAGAAGCAACACAAGCATCCGCCATCAAGTGTAACTGCCCCAGTAATTTAATTTAGTTATTTTCATTTATTATTATTGTATTATTATTCTATATTTTTTACCTACGTGACTTTACCGAAAACAATCTATATATCATCTTGTCTCGCCATGCACCGATGCACGAGATAGTTGGGGTGTGTCGTTGCGGGTTAGGGTTTAACAGTGCTCGATTTAACTTAGTCAAAATGTGATTGGGGACCGTCCATAAACGACGTCACGCGATTTTGGACGATTTTTTACCCCCTCCCCCCTCGTCACGCGGCGTCACAAAAAGTCAGACCCCCCCCCTCAAATATGACGTCACAAAGCTCTGTCCCCCCCCCCCCCCCAAAAAAAAACATGCTTCAAATCGCTTTAAACTAATATTATTGTAGTGCGTATTTAATGTGGCGCTGCACTCTGATGTTGTAGGAGAAACATGTATTAAAAAAGTCTATTTAATTAAGTAGAACGTGTTGTCTATATTTATTTAAAGTTGCGCATTTTGATGTGACGTCACAATTCTCAAACCCGTCACACATCGTCACAAATGTCTGACCCCCCCCCCCCCCCCCCAGGTGCGTGACGTCATTTTTGGACGGCCCCTTGTCATTCCGTGTGACTGCGCTTGTTGTAAGCCTTGCTTTCTCCTAATCAGGGTTATGAAACTGGTCCTTATGAAACTGGTCAATGCGCAAAATGCCCAGTGCTCGCCAATTCAGGTACAAACATATTTATAATTGCACGCACGTTGACTCATGTCAGATACTCTCCTCTGAGATACATACTAATTGACTTGCTGATGATCATGCCCTTTGAGAGCTGTCGCGGGAGGCGCTGCATTTCTCCACTTAGCAGCGCAGGAAACCATTAAGTGGGCGGCCAAAACGTGACATCCCATCCAAGCTTTTCCCGTCATATGGAAGAACAAGGATTACGTATAGTGCTGCTGCTGTTGATGATGATCATGCTAAGGATACGTACGGATCTGCATGTACTTGTAGGGTGCTTGCTGAAATGCCGCAACAACTCATAGCACCTTACATCATGACATCTCACGTCAACCATTCCGATGTCTTTCTGAATGCAGTCTTGCCTAGAGAGACCACCCCCCCACCCTTCGCTTCAGCTGTTGTTCCTGTGTAGCAAAAATGTGTACGGACTCAGCACACCGGCTTCTTGCAAATGGGCATTAGTCTCCCGGATGATGACGATGATATTGCTGCTGCTGCTGATGATGATGATTAGTGCTCTTGACCATAATTTCGCTGCGTTTGATGATAGTGGCTATTTCAGCTGCTCAGCGCTAATAGCAATAAACTAATGACGGATGGAGTTGGTGAACGTGATGACGATGATTCAGGAGTTGGTTATAGTGGATGATTGTTATGATAAATTCTACAATATTTTTTTTTATATCGTGCCCTCGACGCTGCTGAGTCTAGAAACGCTTTATACGCAACAAACGACTGACATGACGTTTCATCTCAACACTAATGAAAGGGGGCACCACCAGTGGCAGCTTTCCAAGAGGGCACAAGGTAACTCAGTACCTGGCCTGCAAGCGGGCATTAGTCTGCCAGTAAGGGGCGATGATTGGTGCCATGTGTAACCCAAGTTGAGTAATGGCAACGAAGTTGGTGATCGTGGATACTAATGAAAATTATGATGACGACGCTTCAGTTTCATTTATTTGGTATATAGCCCTGTGAGCCATTCGGCTCTTGAATCGGGTGCAACCGCAACAAAGAAAAACATGAAAAAAGTGTGCCGTGCTTGGCCCTTCCCCTCTTCAACCATTATATATACGGAGTGGTAGCTCTTGTAATCTCTCATTTACTTGATACAGCTGTCGTGGCTGTGACGGTTCCACCTGAAGACGGAAGCTTGTGTTGCCTCCGAAACGTCGTGATTTTTATTTTATTTTACTTTTTATTAATTTTAATTTTTTACCTACGTGACTTTACCGAAAAAACCTAAGAATATGAATCCTTGCAGTCACGAAAGCTTCAAATCTAGAAACAAGAAACATCTTAAAGTGTGGGAGTGGATGAATGTTATGATGATGATGATGACGACGACGGTGATGATAATCATGGTCACGCAAGTGTAGGCCCTCTCACCGATGTTCCTCGACACACTCTTGAGCGTGCACGTGCCGCCGAGCAGGTGAGAGCACGTGTACAGGCCGTAGCAGCCCCCGCACTGCGCTGCCCGGTCACAAGGCCTGCCCTCCACCTCGGCACACGCGGACTGCGCTCACGGAGACATGGAGACAGGGCCGGATTTAACATTTTGTACGCCCACATGGGCTACGGTGACTGCGAGCCGCCCAGTAATATTTTCAAAAGGAAAACAAAATAAAATAAAAAAAATATTTTGATTTGAAGCTTTCGCGACTGCAGGAATCCATACTCTTTGGTTCTTTCGGTAAAGTCACGTAGATAGCAAATTAATAGATCACGGCGTTTCGATCGCAACACAAGCAATCGCCATCAGGTTGCTTGTATTGCGATCGAAACGTAGTGATCTATTAATTTGCTACCTACGTGACTTTACCAAAAGAACCAAACAGTACAATGTATTTTTTACAAGGCTAACAACGAATACAATTCAGCATTCACAAATGAAATAACTGGGGGAGGCCCCTAAGCTGCAGCCCCGAAAGCGCCCACGCCTTCATCCGGTCCTGCATGGAGAACACTCATTAGCCACGAGACCTGGGACCTCGATAAGAGTGATTCCCTGCTCAAATGAGCATCGGTGTGCTGCTTCTCTCCTGTTTAAAAGCGCGCGAGACAGTGGTGGAAATTCCACATTCATATGGCGGGGCTGTGTGCATCCATCGGACAGCGGTAGTCGTTTTACCGACCACTGGGAATAATGGGCCGAGTCACGCCCCGGCTAGAATTTCAATTCGCCTCTTTAAGATCGGGTATGAAAAAATATACTTAATAAACACCACAACGCATTCGGTTGCAATGCGTTTGACAATGTCGTGTGATTTTACTGGATGTAACTATAAAATATTAATTGTAATCAAAACTTCGCAACAATTATGAAATCGTCAACATCTTTACATCAAGTAATCATAAAAAAATAAGTCATCTTCGTCATCAAAATTATCATCGTCAAATTCTCCCATCATGATTATCAATTTATTATCATCATTATCAGCCACGATCAATCCATTGCTGGATGAAGTCACCGCATCGCGCGCTTTCAGACGCGCTTCTGCGGCCGTCTGGCACGCTCCTCCTTCCGATATTAGGAAGCCACTGAAGCTGCGCGCTTTTAAATCTAAATAAAAAAACTTATTTATTTACGTGTTTAGTTTGGTTTCCTTTCCCTGCACCTCCGAATAGCACGGTTGCCTGCGTACGGTGCGAGAGAAGTTCAACATAGTCATGCGATGTCGGCAATCCATCCAGCACCACCTACACACCAACTATCATTGTATCTCAATTCTATTCGAACTCTGCACAGCAGCAGCTCTAGCCACCAACGCGCAATTACGCATTCAATTCACGCACGTGCAAGGTACGACACGAACACGCTCGTTACCCCGTCCGTGTTAAACCCTCCATGGTGCTTGCTGCTCGGTGCGAAGCCGAGCTCCCTCGGGGCTACTTGGTCCTCTTCGTAGTCCATTCGAAGTTGCTGCTGCTGCTGCTGGTGGTGGTTGGGTTGCCGACTTCGACGCGGAACATGCAAGGAGCGACTTTGCGCCATCCCGGGTCCCGAGTCTGGGCCGCTCGCCCGGCTGCGCGCCGCCAAAGGTGGAGGAGCTGACAACGGCTGTAGCTGTGGCTGCTCGACCCTGCCCGAGCCACCACGTTTGTGGTGGTGGTGCTGGTCGTCGTCATGCTGAGGAATCGACGCCGCCGCCACCGTTACCGCCACCGTCAGGATGAGAAGAGCGCACATGGGGGATGGGACCAGGCGTCTCTGTGCGCGCTGCTGCTCCAGCTGCCACATCACCTTGAAAGTCAACGACGGTTCGACACCCGTCACCTGCCGATAGAGAGGTGAACGATAATTGTCACCGGTGAAATTATACACACAGCGTGATGAGCAATGCCAGTTGTTCGTGATCAATGATATTCAAACGTTGGATACATAAATACGTATGCTTTCGCGATCAATATAATTGATAATTGATTTCGGATCAATCGCGTACACCCACAGTTAATAATGTCCGCTGCAAATGTGGCAACTGCCTTATGATGCAGCTTGTAACTACTACCAGTGAAACGTCGTAACCTATTTGTTACATGTTGTAAAAAAGAAGTGAATTTAACAATCTATTACAGCTCTTCAACAGTCATCGATTGGCACGTTTGTTTAAGTGACGACTTTATTAATTGGCTGCGTCGGGTGGCGTAGGGTGAACGACGCAACAATGTACTTACGCGGTTGCCGCAATGGATGTGATGTTACGTGCGTTATTATAGCAATGCATATGTATAAAGCAGTAATGTATATTTATAATAATGTACCGTATTTGTATAGCAGACCTCGACATTGGCGTTTAGCACGGTTGACTACGTACGGTGTGAAGGAAGTTCAACATACTGACATTTTAGGTCCTGAATATATTCCCCATATGCACGAATATCATATAATTTTAAACAGAGTTTAATTCGTTGTGATATTGTTAGAATGTATTTCCAGTATTATTGTTATTTCAACATTTTAAAGATGTTTATAAATCAGAGACAGTATGGGTAATAATGTCAAGCAATATATCCGAGTATTAGTTGCAAATGAGTCTGGTCTTAATGAGTTCCCACTTGGTTGCAGATGCAGTTTATGTATGTACGTATGCTATATGTGTAGGTCAATAGATTGCAATACAGATATTTAGATATTTCAAACATGTCACATTAAAGCGCATTCTCCTCGATAAAAACCGCGTAAAAATAAAATAAGGTTCAGTCTTTTAGAGTAAGACTTAAATTAATCACCCATTTGTGTAAACACACTGACATCGTTTTGACCTTCTGCGGATCATCAGTAGAGTCAGGAATGTAACGCAAAAACTTCTGTTTCACCGGATGTTAGTGGTCAGTGGCCTTTCGTCTACAATCCCCATCACGGGCCATCGACTTAACAGCAGATATCTACCATTCGCCTTATTTTAAAATGAAAAATATTGAAATTCAGCACAGCAAAACGGTTTAAACATTACTTGTGATATTATCAACGGGAAACATTTCGTCATTGAGGTTTTAATTATTTCGTATTTGACTGACTGACTGGACGAACATCATAGGGCTTGACGATGCCCGTGACTCCGCAGCAAAGACTCACGCTTGACTGAACGTGACGAGACATAAATTAACTAGGCTCAAGATGCAGACGAATATACTGTAATTTTGTAACGTTATAGACTGCAGCACGCAGAGGAAGTCCTAACAATGGCAATTAGCCATAGAAGACAGTTATTGAGTTCACCAATTTGGTGACCTGATAAAACTGGGGGAACACGTGCACTAACATTGAATAATTGAAGAGTGGACTGAAGTATATCTTTTAATTACTTTAGTCGACTAGACTAAGAGACCCATATCTTAAAGAGAGGTTCATTGTCTATAACATCTGGCAGGTCATCAGTGTGCTGTTAGTAATGAAATGTTGCTGAAATTGCCCATTACCAGAAGGACGTGGGGCTGATGGGCTGTGTAAAATATACTTTCATTTTTTATGTGGAGAGATAGATACGTATATGAAAGAGACATTATCTACTGATCTATTTAGACTTAACTAATAACTGAATGATATCTACAAGCTTGATTGAAATTCAACACGCAAAACTCTTTAAAATTCCCAGGTTTTTGTTCGCAACACTTTTTGACTAAAATTACTAAATACAAAAATTCGGACCAATTTAACACTGACACAAATGTTCATGAGTACGCCTAAAATAATCTGAAATATCCACAATCCTTGCCAGTCTGTAACACTCACCTGATGGACCTGACACAATCCTCAAGGACAGCACTTCGTGATGACCAACCGCTGGTGCTACCGCTGCTGCAGAAACAAGCCGGAGCTCCGTGATTCAGACCAGCATCATATACCCTCTCTAATACCGCGTATATATACGTGCACACACCCCCCCCCCCCCGCCTAACCACGACTCACATCACCCACACACACTTATTTGTCATATGCAGGGTCCCACGCAACAACAAAAAAGACCCCAATCTGCTGTTGCCACAACCCCAATGTGATTTGAGTCGCTAGTAAAGTGGGAGTGGGGTGGGGTGGGGGGATGAAGGCATGCTCCTGGACATCTTTATCACCAGCGGTGCACCACCGTGTCGAAATGCCGCAGCGAGGCGCGTGGGGGGTGGTGGTGTCAATGAACGGTCAAGAAGTGATGCAGTGGTTCGGACTCCTTGAGCACATTTTCCAGCTAATGCACAGCTAGGGAACACACAAAGTGCAGGGTGGGGTTTTTATTTAATTTTAGCGAGAGAGAATTTTTTTTAAGTCATACGTTCACACGTGTTATGCCGCGGTTGCCTGGCTACGGGGAGCTTGTTTGGTTCTTTGAAATCGCGTGATGTGTGGCCGGGGAACGTGCGGAACCACAGGTGTAATTTGCGGAGCCAAAAGACGCGCGCTCGCTAACGGAGCACACCGATTCGAACGCTGGCGAGGGAGGGAGGGAGGGCGGCGTTGGCGGTTGTGACAGCTTGTGACCCCCGTTTGAAGTCGAGCTCCGAGATGGACACGCCAACCGCGTTGTGCAGGGGGCACGCAGGGTTTTGCTTGCTTCCAAAAAAAAAAAAATCTCACAAAGTTCAGTAAAAAAATATTCAGTTGAAAAAAATCCACGAAGTGTTCTTGAATGTATTGCTGCAGTGGTCTCTCTGCTGCGATGTGTGTTGTTGAACTTCTGTCGCACCGCACGTAGCCAACCGCGCTAATCGATGGGCCCATTGCCCGAAACATCGCGGATTCCTTTTAATATTTTTTTTATATCTCTCTTTAGGACAGTGTAATTGATGAGTGGAGATTTTTGTCATCTGTGGTGGGTTACAACTTGTGATTCAAGACTTTGGAGGCGAGGGCTGGTGGACAATACACTTTTGCGAAACTCTTAAAAGTCGCCCCGGTTTGCAGGGTTGGCAAAAAGATTGCCAACCTCATTTGTGCAGAGCCTTGGGTGCTGTCCCCTATTCACGCGGTCTTTCTCCAGGTGCTCCGGTTTCCTCCGACAAGCCGGACACTTATTAATAGGATTGTCCAAACAACCCGATAATGTAGGAGGGCCCCTGCCAAGAAATAAAGTAATCGAGTTTCAGTGACGCTTTTTTCTTTTTATAAATAAAGGACGTTGTTTCGATTTAAAGCTTTCGTGACTGCAGGGATTCATCTTCTTGGTTCTTTCGGTAAAGTCACGTAGAAGGGAAAATAATTATATTTTTTTATGTTTTATTTTTATTCTTTTATTATTTCCCTTCTACGTGACTTTACCGAAAGAACCAAGAAGATGACATTGTTGTTAATAAAAAAAATGAAACTAATACGTCGTTGAAATTGTTTTCACATTTATTTCAAGGAAATCTCCCCGTGTTATTAGATAATTAGATTACAGTCATTTGTGCTTCAGATGTATATTTGCCTTCATTTAAACACGTCACCATTAAACACAATCAATATAATAAAATAACAACCTTCACACTTAGGTTGGTACATTACAATTCACAGCTTTTAAAGAATTATATTGCATTGATTCTCAAGACGAGCAATTTTGCTTATAGGTCAAGAAATACTGCATAGGGATAAGTTGAAAATACAATTTTAAGTCTCAGGAATACAAGGCACATAACCGTTGCATTGGCAATAGTGTTGTAAACAAAATCTGCATACTGTAAGAAGTGTAAGAAATCTCCAAAGCAAAGTTTGTTTCTCTAGTCCTCTTAATGTTCCAAGACAACACCTCAAGTTGCAGAACCCTTGGTAAACATTAGTGTTACATTAGTATTTGGCTTCTTTCAGGCTGCCTTTCTTCACAAGTGAGACGCAAATGTGCATGATATTCGGTCGCTCGTGGGAGCGAGCGATGTACGGAGAGCACACAAACTGAGGAACAGTGCTCCACCACGCCTACGTCATGCGTACAGCCCTGCCAATCCACTGCTGGATGAGGCCATCGACATGTCATTAGGGTTATTTGACCCTACTTCACCACGTTGGTGGCGTCGGGCAAAACTGACGTGAGAGCATCACAACACCGCCATACAATGCACTGTGCAGCCCCGATGATGACCTATTTGTGCTCGGTGGTTCTCCCATCCAAGCACTATCCCGGCACAAATTGGCGCTTAGATTCAGAGATGTGACGGGATGGGGCGCATTGCAGGCGATTTGATCATAGGTGCAACACGCCTGAATGCATACGTATTCTTTGGGTCTCTCGGTAAAGTCACGTAGATAGCTTCAAAGAAAATAACAAAAAATAACTAAAAACAACGACTTTTTTTTTTCCTCCTAATGATGACCGTCGTAGTTTTTTGTTATTTTCTTTCAACCAATCTACGTGACTTTACCGAAAGACCCAAAGAATGTGAATTCCTGCAGCCGCGAAAGCTCTCAGTCAAGATTTGAACACACACGGTGGGCGACAATGAATAATTTCAAAGTGGGGGCAACCTGGCTGAATGACCCAGTGCCGTGAACCAGTCACGGCAAATGCGGGTAAGGCGACGGGCCCACGACGGAGGGCTCTGGCAAACTGGCACCGCTGTTTTGTCGGTGCCGCACTCGAAGCCGGGTGCACCGCGCCCATCCAGGCACTGGCGATGACGCGGCTACGCTGCACGCACGGTGGCGGCGGCCAGGCAACACGTTTGGGCTCGAGATATTAACAAATCAGTGCACGCTCACAACTTAATGCCGCACACTTAGCAGAACTGCTGAAAGTGAACTGTGGCATTGACGAATGTGTTGTGCTAATTGTAGGCGTGAAAACGATTCAAATTCCTGCCCTCCCCCACGGTGATTTGATGAACGTTTCGGAGACACGATTCGATTCTGAAAGAAGTTTTTGCACAGAGTTGAATGTAGCGGGCCACTGGTATCCGCAGGGGGGTCATGTAACCCATGAATGTGCATCCCTTTAAGCCACAGATGGATGGTCTCCCCAAGCCGTGTCAGTCTTGGTGGTTGTTAGACAGCACTTCATCACACTGGTCAATGTGGGTTGGTGAAGGGGGAGGTTCAGAACGTGCCACCAATGTTAACCGTGGCCGAGAATCAACTCAGATCAACCTGGTCCAGAGTGCAGTGCGCTAACGATTGCACCACAGATCCGCCCCCATGTTCCCATTGCATACAACATACATATCATTTTAAAAGTATTGATTCTTACACGTTATTATCATGATGAATGCAATGTAGTATTAAGAATCAATATTAATCAATGAATCGATAGATAGTTTTTTTACACGTCGGGTTTTTTAGCATATAAAGGTGGTTGAAGTTTCATACAGCACTATAATCACATTTAAAATGTTATTTTTTGGGATCTCATCCATTCCCAAAGCTTTTTGAGCACCACTCTCACGTATACCATCACAACTTATAATTGTAACACTGTAAATCCTTCCCCCCGCCCCCCTAACCCCAGAGATAAAAAATGTAACACTGTGTAAGATTGTCGTCAAGCTTAAGGCACTGATTGTAAAATTCCATGCAGAGAATTGCTCTGCATTTTGGTTCCTAATCAACGATTTTGAAAGTGTTACAGCTCCTCGTTGTAGTACGTGGGTCGGGGCCACTGCAGTGCACCGAGGCTCTGCTGCTCCAGGGAATTCATCTGCAGCGATGGTGGAACAGCATCGTGACACCGGAGGGAGATGGAGGCGGCGATGAGCCCCATTCTCACGCACGAGTCGAGATCCCTCTGTGCGAGCAGCCCCGCGATCACACCTGCCACCAGGCTGTCGGAAGAAAATACACCGCAAAATGAGGGATTATCATCATCGTTGTCCACCAATTCCGCGATAATCATGATGATCATCCAATACCACCAACTCAATCGTCACAATCATCCGCTGATACAAACTCCATCATCAACATCCACCATCATAGCTCCATCATCATCAATAACGATAATCATCATCCACTACCACAGCTCTATCATCAACATCCACTAATTCCATCATAATCGTCCGCAGAAACTCAATCAACCATCATTTGTCAAGGGTGCTGTCTGACCACAACGGCCAGTGTGGGTTACGTTGAGCGCTGGTGAACAGAAACAATTTTAATGCCGCGGCTTAGCCAGTGTGGAGCAAGAAAAATAAAAAAAAAGTTGCGTGCAATGAGTCACGGTGCTTGTGCCATAGAGGCGAGTTCGAAAAAACGCTGTTTGTTTTGCCTGCAAGAGAGTCAGCTCCTGACTCAGGGTTGGTGAGACACCATTGCAGACATCGCTGTAAGCTCAGTGCCGAGAAGTTGATGAAGTGTGAGGAAAATCCGGCAAAAAGTACCCTCAAGTTTTACGGGAATGCTTTTGCGCAACACACATCCTACACTTAGTCTAAACAACGTGACCTTCCGGTTAAAACATATTGCCGTATGAGGGGATGCGTGACTGGAGTGCAACAATCTGAGGTCAGGTGATCAATAATGCAGACGACTCATACGCCGTGCAAATCCCAGCCTTCAGCGCTGCAAGGTGGCTGCAAGATGACAGTACAGCAAATGGGTTCTGGACCGGTCCGTGTGACATTTTTTTTATATTAATTTCTCATAGGCGTTGGTTTTCTCAGTTATTCTGGTTTTTACCTAACCCTCACAATGTAATGTAAGGATGTACTGCTGACATCAGTGCTGTGCTTATATAGGGTGTGCTTTACTCACTATTGAGTTGAGGAAAAGTCCCAATGTAGGATCCTTCTTAAAAGTGACCTTGAGACTTAATGAGGCAGGCTTTCTTTATTAAGTGAAGAATTATTATTGTTAGTACTTTATTTTAATCCAGCCAGGTGAACGTCTTTGAACTTCTTTCGCACCGTATGTAGCTAACCGTGCAAATTGGAGGTGGCTCAGCGGTAGAGGGAGTCGCTCATAATCGGAAAGGTTTGCGAGTTAAAATTCTGCTTGGAAGTTGGCTCAGCCCATCATCCCTCTGGAGTTGATAAAGTAGGCACCACTTTGTGGTGAGGTCAACAGTGCTTGTTTTGTAGGTAAGATTCATACACATTAGATTCGAAGCTTTCGTGACTGCAGGAATTACTCTTTGGTTCTTTCGGTAAAGTCACGTAGAAAATAAAATAAAATAACAATAAAATACGACGTTTCGGTTGCAACCCAAGCGGCCATCATCAGGTAAGGATAAATGATAAAACATGTTTGTCTTGGTGTGTGTCTCGCTCTGCGTGTGTGTCTGCCTATGCTGTTCCCGTGTCTGTGTTTTATCATTCATTCTTACCTGACGATGGTTACTTGTGTTGCAACCGAAACGTCATATTCTATTATTTTATTTTTTAAGTGACTTTACCGAAAGAACCAAAGAGTAATTCATAGACATGTGGAAGTTTAACCACTGTCCCAAGGCTGTAAACAGGATATGAGTACCACCTCAATGCTCATTTGAGAAATCAGCTTTGAAAAAAATAATTCATGAGATATCGCGTAATTGAACACACAAAACAATGATTGCAGATGCCATAGCAAACCTCGTTGTTATGTGTTATCGGGTCGCAGGGTATTGTTCTATTTCTTTTCACAGCTAAGCAAGGGCACTGTTTAAATACAGCAACATTTCCCTCTGAACATAAATCAGGAACACCCTTGTCAAGAATGCAGTCAATTATTATCAGAAAATGCATGTAAATATTAGGCCAGGCAAACATTTCTACGTGCAGTGTGCCTGAGAAAAGCCGCAGTGGCTGCTCTGTCAGCTGCTGGCACGAATAGGATGCGTGTGAGCGGGTCTGTTTCGCGCGCCGCGCACAGGAAAAAGCACTGAGCACACAACCGATGAAACCACGTGTCCTGCTCGGCACGGAGGTGGGGCCACCTGCGCCATGGCGCAACATAGGGGCGCCCTTGCATCTGATCGCCGTCGCGCTAACCCTTCAACGTCACCATGTGCATTGGCGCAAGTCCGAGCGCTGCGGCGGCATGCGTTGAGGCAGTGAGGCGGCCAGGCTGTGTGTCATCATGTTTCGTCATCAAAGAGGGAAAGAAAACATAATAAAATCTCTAAACGCATGCTGGTGATTTGTTTGAAATGGATTTTTTTTGGAGCTAAAATATCATTTGCTTGTTTATTCAACACGAATGTCAGATGTCTTAAGAGAGCACATTATATGAGCAAACGAACATTTGCAGGGCACCTCATTTCCCGGTCCGCTATTCTCTGTCGCCATAACAAAAATGAAACGTCGCCTAAATTATCTGCACGTTTCTTTCAGTGAAAGGCATCTTGACGGTTGCATTGGGGCAATGTCTGAAGCAGGCACCCAAAGGCAAACCGCTTAGAAAAAGTGCGCAAAATAAAAAACGATGCACGGCAGAGTTGGTGCTGCCATCAAACCTTGCAGCAACCCGTTTCGGATTGCCGGCGGCAGTGGCACCGTAGGGCCCCAGCTGTAAACAGCGGTGGCGATACCCAGGAGCAAAGGTCGCAAACGGGTTTTGATTCCTTACCCGTACCCGTACCCGGCCGCACCAGGGTCGCAAACGGGTACCCGTACCCGTACCCGGCCGTACCCGTACCCGTACCCTACCCGTACCCGGCCGGGTACGGGTAGGGTACGGGTATCGGGTACCTGATTGCGACCTCTGGGATGAAGCCATGTTGCAGTCGTGGGTGGGTTGATTCTAGGAACTTGAATTGTGAGAAGAGACAAGACGTTGGGAAATGAGTGACAAACAGTTACTCACCAGTGACTCACGGTCTACCCGTACTCATACCCGGCCGCACCAGGGTCGCAAACGGGAACCCGTACCCGTATCCGGCCGGGTACGGGTAGCCGGGTATCGGGTAGGGTATGGGTATCGGGTACCCGGTTGCAGCCTCTGTCGAGGAGAGGAATGCGGGCTACTTGGCACTGCAGAGCGAAGTCATCAGTCAGCCCCTCGCTGCGGCTGCTGAGCGTGGTCCGACTCCGCACGCACGTCCCAGAAAGATTACCGAGAGTACGACACCATTCGCTTAAATACCAATTTCAACTTTTCACAACGTAAACAAGCGATTTCCTGTTCAAATAAGCATTGAGGCACTGGTGCTCATTTCTCATTTACAGCACTGAGTCAAAGTGGTTGAAATCCCAGCATTCCTGTGATGGGGGGGGTGAGCCTATCCATAGGAAAACCACTGTTGACTTCCCCATCACTGGTATTTATTTTATCGACCCCCAGACGGATGATGGGTTGAGTTAACCCCCAACTAGGATTTGAACTCATGACCTTCGGAATACCAGCCGCTCGCTCCTGGCCGGTTAACAACGTACACATGGCGTCTAGTCAAATAATCAACGCCCAACCTAACCTTGTTACTCACTGGACATACGGTGGCCTGGCAGATATTGGCCAGCAGCACGTGCGGAGTAGAAGTGTTGGGCATAGGCACAGTGTGCAGAGTGGCCTCCACGCTGCGTGTACGCCGTAGTGGTAGCGTGCGAGGGGTGGCGGTGGATGACGCGGTAGTGCAGTGGTCAGCACACAGCGCGACGAACCCTGCGATCCAGGTTCGACTCCCGTTCTCGGCCAACATCAGTCATGAATATCTGAACCAGTGCTGGGGCCAGCCCTGGGTCGATTCAGCCTAAAATGAGTACCTGGAACGCTGTGTAAGCGTCAACACCGGGGAGACAAAGGTGGTCGAGCGTGGTGCTGGACACCCACCCCGTCATGTGTGTGTGCCGTGCCGGCCTTCTTAGGGTCCCGCGAGCAGCACTTGCCTAAACAGTCTGTTAAAAAGGCTCTTAATGGAGATATTTGTCGGTGGTGGTGACGGTAGTGGCGGGCTCACCTGTCTCCTGCCCCAGACACGCTGAGGATGTCTCCGGCACACACGGGCAGCGCCGGGTAATGCACGCACCGCATCACCGCCACCTGTGGCACAACACAGCCCGGGGCACCCGTCGATCAGAACATCTGCGAATGTGTCCAAAGTCACGCACCTGACATAGATTAGACATTCCAATTAATGTATCGACTGTTCTGAAGTCAAACATGAACCTTTATAAGTATAAGCATGGAAAATGTATACTGCTGTGATAAATAAGAATAACAAAACCCAACAATGGTAGAAGAGATTTAGTTAAAAAAAAATTTTTACCAATGAGTTGGTGTAGTGGCACAATGTATCGTGCAATGTCCTATGAACCCATTAACCCGAATTTGATTCCTGACAACGGTTAACATCGGTGGCGAATATCTGAACTGAACTGCTCCTGCTCCCCCCCCCGCCCCTATCTACTCTCTCTTCGCCAGCCGGCACTGACACACAGCGCGATGAAGTATGGTCAAACAACCCCCACGAGACTGAGGCAACGTGGGGTGGAAGCCTTCGTCCACCAATGGATTGACAACAGACCAAGGAGTGACTAATCCCATATCTGCAATTCGCATAAATATGCTAAATTCCTCTTGATATGCAAATTATTTTGTCAAGGCGCTCTTCCCCCTCCAACCCAGCTTAAATATACGCTCCAAGCCTGGTGGTGTTTCATTCAGATGCTGTCTTTCCGACAGACCTGTTCTTCACCTGAGGACGGCTGCTTGCGTTGTGGCCGAAACGTCGTGAGAATTATTTTATAATGTTTTATTTTTATTATTTTATTATTTCCCTTCTACGTGACTTTACCGAAAGAACCAAGAAGAAAAAAACAGATCCCCCGTTGAAGAAGTTACAATGTTGTTGATGATCATGACGATGACAACGACGACTCCACAACCTGCCCTCCTCGTGGCCCATCTTCCTCTGTGGCGGCGCCGAGCGCTCCCTGCAGCAGCGGTGGAGTGGCGACCCCCGGGCGTGACGCCAGCAGCACACCATGCCGCCCCATTGTCACCAACACCAGCGCCAGGTGTCGCAGCAGCGGGCGGCAGAGGCTGCGTGCGAGCGCGACCGCAGCGCTCGTGTCCTTTGGGGGCGGCCCTGGTTGTTAAAGTTTTGGGCGAGGAGAGGGTGGGGGGGGGGCAGAAGAGACACGGTCGAGTCTTTGAACGCTACGTGAAGCACCTGACCCGTCTCAGCCATGCAGGTGTAATAAGCACTCATTACACAGCTAATGAGGATTCATGCAATGCTTTACAAGCGAGATCGGGTGATTTGTCAATAATAATGATTGAGAATCTGTAATGGACGGGCGCAGTTCTTGTACACGCTCGGAGAGAAAGAGTGTTTCAATAGAAAGAGTGTTTCAACAGAAAGAGTGTTTCAACAGAAAGAGTGTTTCAACAGAAAGAGTGTTTCAACAGGCACCCCGTGCCTGTTGAAACACTCTACAGACAAGCGGCAAGGCAGCCAAAACTGATGCCAGTCGTTTCCCAACCTCTGTGGTTCTATATTTGGATGATTGGCCAACTCCATTAACGAGCATTTATACTCGTGAGAGAAAACCTGAGTGGCCCGGAAATGTATCCACGTGCTGTACTGCCATGCCCTTGTAAGCCAGGAGATGGTGACCTCGACGACAACGGGTAGGGAGTTTAAAAAAATTTGAGTGACCCACCAACCCTTGCCTCCACGGTGCAGATTACGGGTGTGCGCACCACTAGCACCCGGCTGGATGAGGGCCTCCGCAAGCCTTGTCAATTAGAAGACTCACGGCGGACTTATGATGTGTCAATTGCGGCTGAAGAACGCTTAAGCAATTTTGTTCTTGAAGTACAGCAAAGCACAAAAACAATAAAGATAAACGCGTGAAATACGTAAAAAAAAAGTGTTAAGGGAAAGTGATAGCGTGAAACTCGTCACATTGTGGCATTGAATATGGAATAGTTTGGCGAAAAATTATATTGCGGCAAACTCACTTTTCAATAATAAGACGGACACAGACTGACAAATAGGCGCAGGATCTGCTATGTGCGAGAGAGCAACTTTAATCGTGCAATTACTGTCAAAAGCGTTTCCTGTGCTTGCTGACCGGAATGCCTCCCTCGCAACAGAAGGTGAGTGCAACATCAGAATTGGATGACCGGCACGCAAGCCGGAGCTGAGTTCACATTCCTCAACACTTAGAATTGGACGATTTTTTGCAAAAGGGCCCCGCATTGATTGGCTTGTGTTTGTCATCAGCCCGCCTCAGAAATTATCTTAACCTTTCGTCAGCGCAAGAGAGAGACGTGAACGGTTTTTCCACAACGGTCCTGTCACTTACAAACGAAAGTACAGCCTCTCAGCATGAATTAGGTTTGCCATTTTAAACAAAACCACTTTAATGCGGTTGAAGTATGTTGAATATATAGTCGGCAGTCACGATACATTCCTACGATGGGAGTTAAAGGTTACATGTCAAGAATAAAAAATCAAATGCCTTGCAATGGGGTTGCCGCAAACTCTTTCGTGAACTAATCATGAATCTGCCTACGACTCGCTGACATGTGTACAAATATACTCCTAAACATGTGCATATATTAACTCGCACATATCATGTTTATAAAACCCTATTGGTGACTGTCAGTGTTGATGCAATGGTTAGTACTACTGGTGACCCGAGTTGAATTCCTGGCCACGGTTTAACCTCAGCAGCGAGTGATATCTGAACTGGTGCTGCGTTCCTCCTTCATCACTGCGCTGGCACTACGGCGTCCCTGACTTCAAGTCCAGGATTGAGCCACCTATGATTCAAAACGAGTTCTCAAGTGCGGTGAGCTGATGGGCTCAGCCAGGTCACCAACGACAGCGAATGTCCAGCTGTGATAATGAAATAAATGATCTGTTTGACTGCCACGCGATGAACATTTCTCTGCAGCAGGGTTCGCAGAATGTGCTTCCCCTGGTGTGTGGATAAAAGTGGTGACTTTGAGGGCTCTGAAATGTCGTTTCATGGTCTCTCTTTATCACAGGCCGTTCTCTAACAATGTGTCGCACTGTGCTGCGGGAGTTTAGAATGGCTACTTCATTTCATGCCAAGATGCAAATGATCACTATTGGACTAAAACTGGGAATGTATAGCAACCCTAGTATGGGTAAGTGGTCGTTTGAAGAGATCGTAGAAGTAGTTGTGTGATATCTACTTCTGCGGGCCATTCTCGAACAGGGGGCGATGCATTTCTCTGAGTTCCAAATGAACGTTCCTTCAGCTCATCAGATGATTAGCACTACTAAAACAAAGCTTCAATGAGGCACATTTCTTAAATTACAAAGATAACTGCTTATGAATGTTGAACTTCTTTCGCAATGTACGCACTGAGCCAAGCGTGCTAATCGGAGGTGCAGAAGGAACTCTGGTCCGCACCTCCGATTATCACGGTTGGCATCTTGACATGAAATGAAGTACATGTGCGTGAATCTGCCTCATTAATATTGTTTTCATCCGTAACTCACTCCTTGGGAACTCTGGCATAGAAACCTCACCTGAGCAGGAATGGAGCACCTTAGCCACTAACTGAAAGGGAAGGAATTGGAATATGAGGATAAATAGTCACTGCTTCTGCTAAACCAGCATGAAGAGCCGGACAAACGGGGAGCTGAGGGTCGGAGGTGGACTTGAGACGCAGCCACATTCCCGCAAACGCATAATGATCGTTGGTTAGACTCGAGCATCGTGTTGATGTTACTTTATTTTTCGATTTTGTCGTATTACATTATCCCCTGCCCCCCCCTCCCCCCTTATGAATACGTGACACACGATGATCGTCGCCCCCACGGTGGCGGTGTGACGGATCCAACCTTCCCCTTATAGGTCTCATACCCGTAAACGTGATGCCTTGGTATCGCTGCTCGTTTGGTTTTCAGGTATACCTCGCGAAGGACTGTATGGTTGGGTTCTTGTAAAATAAAAAAAATTACTGCTTTGGGCCCTGGATTGTTGTACAAATTATACAACAAAAATTGTGACTGCATTGACACAAATAACAACAACTCACATTCGTCCGGAGGAATGTTCTGTCCGCTAAGAAGATGACCATTGGGCAAAACGTCTCCCTTATTGTGTATTTTTTCAGTTTTAATGACAGATATTTTAGGAGTTTCTCACCGTCAGGTGTAGCGAGACCGAGTGCGCTGTTCATGGCCAGCAGCTCAGCGAGGTTTGGAGAGGTCACGCTGAGACCCCTCCAGCTGCCGGACAGGAATGGCTTCTTGGCTTTGTCGATATCGGTCGGCTCGAACCAGACTACACCAGGAGGCAGTGGAGTGGACATCGGTCATCACGACAGCGCACCACGGTAATTCATGGGATATAAATAAGGGCAGGGGTAATGCTATAGGGGCAGTTTCACAAAGTAGTCAAGCACACAGTCAACATTCCAAAACAATCCTAACAATACATTATTATTTTGCCGATTGTTATCAATAGAACCATGTAGGTTTCCACGGTTGTGCTGTATGGCTCGGTGATGTTGTTTTCAAACGACACGCCGCACAACCCAAAAACAGTTCAGAAAAATATCCATCCGCTCGTAAAATGTGGCTTCTTTATCGAATAAGTCAGCGGTCTGACACTTTAGTGAAATGAACTGTGACATCGCCATCTCACATCGGGTGGAAGAGTCAGTTCGACCGAATTTGTCCAACAGTGTATTTCAAAAGCAATTATCCCTTACCAAGTAAGGTGGACAATACATTTGTAACTAAATTGGCATTCTAATCGATTGGCATACTATGTCCAAGTAAAAGGCCAATTCTTGAACATATTAATAGGCGCCCGCATCTTTACTGGTGTCCGAAATGTACATTTCCCCGCTCCAGCTTTCCGTCATTAACCGCGAAATCTCCCAGCACACAGCACGCTGGCGGTTCCTACCTGGAACGCCGCGCTCTTTGCCCACGCCGCACACGTAGTCAATGGTGGAGACGGGGAGGTTCCCGTCCACACAAACGATGCAGGCGGAGCCGATCTGCTGCTCGAACCCCTGCACCTGCGCCCCCGGGGAACAGACGCGCTCGCATCGAGCCACCGCAATGACGACGCACAGGCGCAGCCGTGCAAGGCATGGCTGGATGTACAAGTGGGCAGCGATTCACCCCCCCCCCCCAACCGATCTGTTCTCCCAGGCCCATCTTGCTACTGCTACTCCATGCCCCCGCCCCTCCAGCTACAGCCAGGCCTTCCCCCGACCCTTCCTTAACCTCTCTCCACGTCCTGGTCTTTCCCCCAGACCTCCGGTTAGCACGGTTGGCTACGTACAGTGCCAAAAGTTATACATACATAAACAAGAGATTTATTGTTCAAATAATCATTGGGGCACTGGTCCTCATTTCTCATGTATAGCCCTGAGTCAAGTGGTTGAAATTACACACTCCTACGATGGGGGTGAGCCTATCCATAGGAAAACCACCCTTGACTTCCTGATAATTGGTATTTATTTTATCGACCCCCAGAGGGATGATGGGCTGAGTCAAACCCCAATCGGGATCTGAACCTTCGGGTTACCAGCTGCTCGCTTCACCTTAACCGCTCCCACCTGTTCTCCTGTCACCATAACGACTCCACCACTTTGAATAACCCAACTCTTCAGTTCAACGACTATAGTCCTATGTGCAATTTCATCATTGTTGAAAAGCACCTTGGAATAAGACGCTATATAAATCTACGTAAGGTAAGACGAATTGTCACGATTTTGGGGTCACGATTCGATTTGAATAGCGACTTTGCTTTGACACTGTGGCGAGTATTACGTCCCTCGTGGCTGTCGGGGTCACGTGGACTGAAGACAACATACTGTACAACATACAAGAAGTGAAAAACAAAGGTGGCCGTTTAGCAGTCAGAGCGCGAGGCCGGCATCGCCGAGATTCTAAGTTCGAATCGTGGCAGCCGCCGCCTGTGATTAAACTTGGTTTTTAAGCATAGAGAGTTGATGGTCGGTCTCAGCCCGGTCACGAAAGACTTCACAAAAAACCCATCACATGCAATTTGGATCCGCACTAAATTCCAGCTCGGAGAATGAAAAATATATCGCTTGACCATCCTGTCTGGGTGACAGGGCGGGTGGAAAAGTGCTGCCTCCAACTGGGTCAATCGGAAGTCACTTGAAGGGATCTCAAGAGGTAGCTCTGTGATATCAACTTCTGTGGGCTGTTCTCTCCAATAAAAGGTCGTTCAAAACTTCGAGAGACACCGATTTGCGAAATCGGTGATGAAATCGATGGAAAAAGATAAATAAATGAAAACGGGAGTCTATGAACATCAATTCTTACACACATGACTCGATTTCAAATCGGTGCATTGTCACATGCATAAATACCCAGCTGGCCATCTCTACACCGTCCCTTCAACCAGCCGGGCAGCGATGACGGGCACCAGCGCGGGGCCCGCCCGCCTGCCTGCCGGCTCATGAAGGCCGTGCCCCAACGAGTGCAGGCCCCCCCACCCCGCCCCCGCCGCGTTGCTCACGTAGTCGTGGGTGATGCGCCGGTGAACGTCCATGTCGCCGATGCCCACGGTGAGCTCCCCCGCGTGGTCCAGCACCGCACAGTACGTTGCTGTGCTGGCGCCCGCCACCCGCGCGATCCCACTCGTATCCTGCGCCGTCACGCACGGGCGTTAAGGGGCTCGCGTTAGGATGCGCGTCCGCAGAGCTGCATGCCCGTCGCTCTCCTTCCGCGGGTGTCTAATTCTCGCGTGTATACGTGTCTGTAGCCCATGTGCCAAGAGGGTCGGTAGGTACCATAATCGACTGGGGTGGCAAATGCTACTCATAGCTACAATTTAATGCAAGCTTACCATATACCATAATGATAATTGGTTTTTTACCCTTTTATCTGGCAACAAAACTGACACCTTTTTTACAAGGAGTCATGTTTGCATTGACCACAATACCTGCAGTCGAAATGCAAAAAAACTAAAACATAACTCTGATAATGTATGCACTGTCCTTGAAATTGATTGGTCCACACCCGAGACAGCTTTTCTTAGAGCCCAGTCTCATATGGTGTTGGATCAGATGACGCCAAAAGGCGCACAACTCAAAGACAATCCACCATCAGAGTATGAGAGCTCGGGGTAAGCATTTACACCATTGGAACCTCATTTGCCAGTAGCAAAGTACTGACACCTTTTTGACAAGGAGCCATGTTTGCATAAAAAAGGTGTCAGTTTTGTTGCCAGATAAAAGGGTAAAAAAACAATTATCATATTTTGCTACTGCCAAATGAGGTTCCAATGGTGTTACCATATACCGTTCACGGTCTGTTTTAAAAAACACATTTCATACGTACTTTGTATTCCGTAGCCGTGTCATAGCACACATTTCTCCAAAATGTTTTTTCAAAAAAACTATGATATTGTCATGGTATCCTTGTTTTACTATTACCAGCTACCACAGTGACCTTGCTATCAAACCTATTTGTAATCTACGCTTAAAATGCTTCAGGAAAATCATTGTTGACATTTGTCACCCTGGGCGGTACCGCTAAGTTATTTTTGGACCAAGGGCTCAAGGGTCATTTTTTCCATTTGCACAGGGCTCTATTTAAGTGTTCAGACAGCACAGTATATACTTAACATTTTCGAAAGCTGATTATAACGTAATATTGCATGGAAAATAAGTATTCATCCATTTGTCAATCCACTGGTGGATGAAGGCTTCCTCATCCCATCGGGTCCATGGGTTTAGTCAACCATTCTTCACCACGTCGGTCAGTGGAAGTTGAAGGCGGAGGGCATAGACATGGGAGCGTACAATTGCAACATTTGATTTTGTGGTACTGCCATCTGCTGCCAACAAGAGAGCCCGTGTGGCAAATTAGAATACCAATACAATTCACATGCCCAATGTCAAAATTAACCGGGTAGTGGCGGCTTTAACAACACATTTATATTTACGCGATCTAACCCAAAAAAACTATGTTATGGATCAAAATGAATGCAGAGGCGTTACATGTGATGTGCAAACTATTTACGAGTGGTCATGATGCATGGATTCATTAATATGACTATACTTTCACTCTCACAATCCATGCATTCATAGTGAGTATAATAATCAATCATTTTTGTGTATGTTGTATATAAATGGTTCACATTAACTGAGTTAACAGAGCTGATTAGGTTTTTGCAAAAACAATTAAACATCCTCGTTGCTCTCTCAACAAACTTTTACAAATGTCAATTTTTCTGGTTAACTTGTGTATGCCTATTAATGCCGTATTAATAATGATTAAATATATTAACCAATAAGATGGATTGTGTTCTCATTTGCTGACAAGCGTCTGTACTGCTGGAGGAAGCCAGTCCATCACGCACCATGTGGCTGATGTTGGAGATCAGCGTGCGGGCGAGAGCGTCTTCGCCCACGGCCGAGATGAACAGGGGATTCGTGCCCAGCCGTGCCAGCCCATCTGCACAACACACAGCCTGATGCTACGTTTCCATTGCCAGTAGAGAAACTAGACCCGAGCCAGGAACGGCCCAGCTTGGTTCGTTTCCTGTCCAAATAGCTTTAAGAGCTTTGTGGTGCCATCAACTTCAACCCTCCCATTATACCCCCCCCCCATTCCTACCCAATTCCCTATCCCTTACCCTGTGCAGCCGGAGGGGAAGTCATCATATATTTTTAAAACCAATTCAACATATACTTGAGGGACAATTTCCCATTACGGGGATCCCCTTGACATAATAACAAAATTCTTTAAAACATTTCTTTACATTATGGGCGCAATATGTATTATTAAGATGTAGGTTTTCACAGCTAATATTGTGATTCATAATACATTTTTGGGTCACGGTCTTTCGACAGAAACTTGGCCTAATGCAAAAATCTATTATGCCAACTCAAACAACGATCAATATATATATTTTACGCTGTGATTCTTTCACGAAAAACATGCCCCTGAAGTTGGCCCAATTGACAAGACGTCGTCGGACACTCGTGCCATTTCCACGTCGGCGTTCTGATGTAACATGACTGTTTTCGAGGGTGACTGAGGTGAAGGTCTTAAATCTCTCCTTTGGAAAGTGAGACGCACTGCCCACCGTGTGACATGGCCCAGTTGGGACTGGCTTAGCCCGGGCACAGGTATGGTACGGCTGGAGGAGAAATGGGGGCCAAACCCACCTGTCTGATTTACTAATTGCATTGCTCATTGGAATGTGGCATAAGTGTCCCTGATCTCTCTTCTTGGTTCTTTCGGTAAAGTCACGTAGAAGGGAAATAATAAAGTAATAAAAATAAAACATAATAAAATACAATTCTCACGACGTTTCGGCCACAACGCAAGCAGCCATCCTCAGGTGAAGAACAGGTCTGTTGGAAAGACAGACCACAACGCAAGCAGCCGTTCTCAGGTGAAGAACAGGTCTGTCGGAAAGACAGCTGTCTGACAGCTGTCTTTCTGACAGACCTGTTCTTCACCTGAGGATGGCTGCTTGCGTTGTGGTCTGACAGCTGTCTTTCCGACAGACCTGTTCTTCACCTGAGGACGGCTGCTTGCGTTGTGGCCGAAACGTCGTGAAAATTATTTTATTATGTTTTATTTTTATTATTTTATTACTTCCCTTCTACGTGACTTTACCGAAAGAACCAAGAAGATGAATCCCTGCAGTCACGAAAGCTTTAAATCGAAATGCCCCTGACCTGTCTCGGCAGAGTTTTATTGCAGGGATGGATCACAGACATTGGAGAGTCCTGCCAACTCACCTGCAAGGTTCCTCCCAACACCGCCAAACGACTGGCGCACCGTGCCGTAGTTCGTTTGGCCACCAAACTGCATGCATGCGTGCACGACAGTGGAAAGGATTTGCAACAGGTAAGCAAGCTGATGACCAATAGGAAAACGCCGAGTTTACAGATGGCAAACTCTATCCTAGTATTGCCTTTGATAGGAGAGGAATCTAGTAGTGGTTACCACTGGCACTCAATTTATCTGATGTGATGAATTTCACAATTATCCACAATTACCCACAGATAAGGTGACCCGGAAAAGTAGGTTCACACATGTGCTAAATGCATCAAATCATCTGTGTTTATCTGCGTGTGATCACGGACAAAAACAAGATTGCGCAATGCACTAACAACATTCCCCACATCTAGAAATAACATGCTGAAGATCTGTAAAAAAGATTATTTGTGAGGTATTAACATTTATCCATTGCTCACAAGCACGCTCACCTGAATATTGCTGGATTTTATTCTTGCAACAAAGTCCACATTACAGCCTCCAATAACCACCTTCCACACACACACACGCGCACATACAAAATCACATGCAGTTGCTTCATAACAACTACAAAAACACCACCAATTTATCCAATAACCACCTTCCACACACACACACGCGCACATATAAAATCACATGCAGTTGCTTCATAACAACTACAAAAACACCACCGATTTATCCAATAACCACCTTCCACACACACACACACGCGCGCACATACAAAATCACATGCAGTTGCTTCATAACAACTACAAAAACACCACCGATTTATCCAATAACCACCTTCCACACACACACACACACACTCGCACATACAAAATCACATGCAGTTCCTTCATAAGAACTACAAAAACACCACCGATTTATCCGCCGGGGCAAACATCATTGCTATTAAATCGTGAATGCGCATACGAGTCTAATAAAGAAACATGTAAACAACGTTCATCGATCCCTTAAAGCACGCACCGGCCTCAACTCCATTTTGTCCTGCTTTTCAGGAAGAGCGCGGAGGGTGCTCCGTCCACTGGGTGCCCCATGCTGCTTCTCCGACAGCTTGCAGGCGATCCCGGCTCCAACATCCGCATTGTTCTTTATCAGCGCGATGTCTGAACGCTCGTCAGGGTAGAGAAACGAGACGCTTCACGTAGAGCATGGCCGCGCCGCTGCTGCGTCCGTGGTTGTGCCCGTGTAGCTCTCCCGAAGAAGATCTCCCAGCGAGCGGAGCGAATGGTCGGGACGTAAAACCGTACGAGGCACAGTGCACCCTGAAGACACACACAGCGGCGAGCGACCAAATTGCCCGTGTGGCTGCACCTTGTTTAGACTGGGTGCAAACACTCGGGGAGGCAGAAAAACCCAATTTTAAACAAACTCACACAAATATTAAACGCAAGTGTGGTGAACTTACTTCGCGTTTGGGAGCGCTGCAATATGATGCTCTAACAGCAGAGGGCGAGCTGTATGTACATTAAAACTTCTTTCGCACCGTACGTAGCCAACCGTATTAATCGGAGTGTGGGGGAAGGACAACAAACTAAACACAAAAAGCAGTTCTGAAAAAATCAGTTTTCAATCCAGATGATTTAAAAGTACATAACTCCAGTGGCTTCCTAATATCGGACAAAAGAGCATTCCAGACGGCTGCAGATGTGCGTACACTTTATACACGAGCACTACATCACCCTCAATGTCTTCACTAACCTCTTCACCCCCCTTCTCTTAACTTCCTCTCTGTCAAGTGCTTTGTTATTTTCAAGATCTTTCATGGACTCACTCCTGCATAACTTTTCCCTCTCATTTCACTCCACTCCCCTTCACGTCTTCTGTGCTCCAGTAGCCGAGGCATTATCTCAAAATCGCCTCATCAAGCTCTGCTCAAAGGGAGGTCCCTCCTTCTCTGCTGCTGCTTCTGGGTCTGTAACTCCTTCTCCCTGGTCATCAGCGCTGCCAACTTCCTGTTCATGTTCAAGTCAAAGCTCAAGACCTGCCTCGTCTCATATATGTGTCCTATCTATGAAATGTCTTAAACATACCTTTATACAGCAGTTCCCCAGAATGAACGTCTTACTTTTATAGAGCATCCTGAGATTCAGCTGCATTTGGATGCTATGTAAATCCAAATTGCATTGTATATTGTGTTTGTTTCGGATTTACATCTGGCATGGAGCACAAGGTTGGCCAGATTCTATGCACTGTATGTTGAACTTCTTTCGCACCAACAAGGATACTGGCTTCAAGAGACTGCCCTTGCGTGAGTTCGTTAACTCGTCGCAGGATGAAGGGTGTTACTTCCTTTCCCACGATCTGTTGTTCCCTGTAAAAGGTGAAAACATTAACGGTCATATTTATCCTGTGGTGAATTACACAACATTTAAGACCGGGAGCCAGAGGAGAGCCTCACCATTCTGGCAAATCGCCCGATGAAGCTGGATGGGATTACCAGCGAAACGTCGTACTCGAATTTTAAATGATGTTGATTCACTCTTCAACACACCGGTGGGCTAAAGAAGTTAATTATTTTGTCCTTTGTAAACGTGACACATTTTTTACTGTTTGGCCATGTCGGGTGGTGGAGGGTTACGACACATTTATAAATAAATTTCGATTTAAAGCTTTCGTGACTGCAGGGATTCATCTTCTTGGTTCTTTCGGTAAAGTCACGTAGAAGGGAAATAATAAAATAATAAAAATAAAACATAATAAAATAATTCTCACGACGTTTCGGCCACAACGCAAGCAGCCGTCCTCAGGTGAAGAACAGGTCTGTCGAGGAGACAGAGTCTGACATGTAACAGGGGCGTCTCCTCGACAGACCTGTTCTCCACCTGAAGACGGCTGCTTGCGTTGTGGCTGAAACGTCGTGAGAATTATTGTATTATGTTTTATTTTTATTATTTTATTACATTCCTTCTACGTGACCTGACCGAAAGAACCAAGAAGACATTTATAAATAACGCGATCTAACCCAAAAACCGATATAATGAATACACAACATATGTTGCATCAAGCTGATACCCATGTTTTTGTCAGTAAATTTGGCAAAATTCTAGCTCAGATACATAAAAGTCACTGTCAGACATTTTTCACTTTGCAAGTCAAAACAAAAACTTTACAGGATATGTAACAGGGGCGTCCCAAATGTGAATATAGAGGCCGACTGAAGTGTTCTCGGAAGTAGCTAATTTGACGTTATCTTCCGGGGGCCTATCTCTGACACAGGGCGATGCAATGTTAGATGTTGACAATGCAAATTTCTATGTCCCGTGACAAGATGCCATTGGCAAAAATGTAGAATTACAGAAACTGTAAACATGTTAAGATTAAAAATTTCCCACAGTGATGCTATGCATTACCATGAGTCATAGTCACAACTTGGATTCAAATAAATATAATCTACTGTTATGTCTGACTTTTAGCATTTTGTTTGTATCGGTTGTAAAAATTTTTATCTAATTTGAACCGATGTTTCTGCTCCATTATCGTAAATGTAACATGGATATAATTATCCGAATTTGTCAGTAATGTCTTCTCACGCGTACACATTTCTGCACATATCGTGAGTGGAAGAACCGATATTAATCAGTGAATCGATGTTATGACTAATTACCTGTCATGCAATCAGAGGGAAACTACTACATAAGTTTTGCACGGTTGTGTCGTGCAGGTCTGCAGTGTTTAGGTTGTAATGTGTATTCTTCAGCACTATGTCCGACGTTTCACGGGACATGCTTGCAGCTTCTTCAGGACCTGAACAGAGCAGCTCACGCCCTGCGTAATCGAGGAATAACGTGAGCTGTTGTTTCGTTCCTGAGGAAGCTGCCAGCACGTGGAGCGAAACGTCCGACGTTGTGCCGAACGGCGCGCGGTACAATCGGAAAACGCATCGAAGAGCTACGTCAGAGGGATGTCTGACGGAACAGACGACGCACGTGGCTTCTCGCAGGGCCTGCTGGATGGCTGCCTCGATGAGCTGCCCCTCCACGGCGTGACGCTCTGGCACGGGCACCGCAATCAGCACTCCGCTGCCCAACCCCAACCTCAGCCCGCTCGCTGCACAGAGCACACGGGACATGCACCCTCGACCAGTGGTTATGACATACCGTCAACAGGAATAACAAGTTCTAGGTATGAAGCTTTCGTAACTGCAGGAATCCATACTCTTTGGTTCTTTCGGTAAAGTCACATAGGTATAAGTTCTAGGTAACCGAATTTACACCGGCAGTGATTGCTGGTGGTGGAGTGGCAATACTGCTCGCCAGGCAACAGAGACCTTCCACTGAGCGATGATTTTTAAATCCTTTATATTAAGTTCACTTGCTTGCTTGCTTGCGCGCTTACGACCGTGCAAATCTTTCGGTCGTTTTTTAACCCACTTCCTGTGATCCAATCGAGCTGACATTTTCCACAAAGACTCGTTGTGCGTGACAATTAATTTTCGTGAAAACTTTTTTCCAAAATTTTACACTTTTTAGGAAAAAAAAAGATATTTAATTACCAATTGCTTAATGGTGGCAGGCAATCATCTGACCCATAGGTGGCAGCCATCTCAAGCCAGAGGACGAGAGGACTCTAGCCGCCACGCATATAAAGAATTTATAGTGAAAAACTTTGTTTTTACGAGTTAATTTTTATTGTGGTTCATCTCCGTGGCCCGTTACCTATGAGCTCAGCGGCCTGCTCCTCTGTCTCCACATTATACGGAGATAGGAAGCCGCTTCTTGGTGTGAAGAAGGCAGGGAAGTCTCTGGATGATCCAAATGTAGTGACACAGACGCCCTGAGTTTCCTGGTGAATAGCATGCACACATCGGTATAAGGCTGCAATGCGGTCAGAAACTAGACAACTCTATTTGTTAAAACTATGGGAGGTGCACAGTAATGAGTGATGACATTTACATTCGAAACTCTGGAAACTAGCATTGCATCACCCTGTCAGATGATGGCATCATGAAACTAGTTTAACACGTAGTACGCTTTCGCGACCAATATCATCCATAATAAAGGTTTTGGGTTTAAATTGCGTAAATATATGTGTCGTTAAAACCCGCCACATTGTGCAAGAGCGCAGCTGCGTGGTCAACACATCTACGCCTCTATATAAGGAACGAAACAGTAAGACTTCTCCACAAATCTGGCTGTCGCCTGATGAAGCTAGTTGTAATTACTGGTGAAACGTCGTACTCAGATTGTAAATGTTGTGGCTTGGCTCTCCAACACACCGGTGTGCTGTACTAGTACGCTATACACTATACACTACACTACTACAGTATACACGAGTGCTGTACTAGTATACTATACACTACACTATACACTACAATACTACACTATACACTACTAAACTACACACTAGTGCTGTACTAGTGACGAATTGGCCACGTTCTGTTTACGTGACAACCCTTACTAGTTGGCTGTGTCGGGTGGTGGCGGGTTTTAACGACACATTTATATATTTACGCGATCTAACCCAAAAACCTTTATTATGGATCATGAAACTACTTCTGAATTCTGTATCCGCACTAGAGGTGCAATATTTAACCCTCCCTGCAAATACGGGGTGCTTAAACATTTTTTCAACACTTATATGAGACTATCGTTTTTAATGGAAAAAGTACAGATAATACACTGAAACATGATAACAAATGTACGTGCACATTTCTTGTGGTATTGTTGCAAATTCTCGGAAGTGCTAATATAATTTTTTGAAGCACACTGTAGTATTTATTACATGGCAATCAAGCCAAATTAAGTGAAAAAACGTTATTAAATCCTTTATATTAAGTTCGCTTGCTTGCTTGCTTAGGACCGTGCAAATCTTTCGGTAGTTTTTGAACCCACTTCCCGTGATCCAATCGAGCTGACATTTTGCACACAGACTCGTGCGTGATAATGAATTTTCGTGAAATATTTTTTCCAAAATTTTACACTGTTTAGGGAAAAATAAATAAATATTTATTTACCAATTGGTTAATGCTGGCACACAATCATCTGACCCATAGGTGGCAGCCATCTCAAGCGAGAGGACTCTAGCCGCCCCGATGCCACGCATATAAAGGATTTATAGTGAAAAACTTTGTTTTTACGGGTAAATTTTTTTTCACATACATGGGGGACTGGGCTGAGATGCAGTAACTCATTACAACTTGCGTAGCGAAAACCTCTGATCAACATGCAGCGTCTCGGTGGTGCTGGCTCATGGCTGACCCCTGAGCTACCCGGTCATGTCATGTGATAATGTTGGATCTTTGACGGTATATTCAACGTACCAAATACTCAAGTGTCCTTCCAATGTCCAATATCGATTTAATGCCGGCCGACACAACAGCAATGGGTGTTCTTCCTAACTCAGTGAGATCAGCACTTATGTCAAGACCTGCAGGAAAATAACAACGTAACAGTATAAATTTCGATTTAAAGCTTTCGTGACTGCAGGGATTCATCTTCTTGGTTCTTTCGGTAAAGTCACGTAGAAGGAAAATAATAAAATAATAAAAAAACATAACATGCATTTATTATTATTTTATTATTTCAACAATAAAATAATAAAATAATAAAAATACAACATATGTTTTATTTTTATTGTTTTAATGTTTTATTTTTATTATTTTATTATTTAAATAATAAAATAATAAAGATAAAACATTATGTTTTATTTTTATTCTTTAATTATTTTCCTTCTACGTGACTTTACCGAAAGAACCAAGAAAACGTAACAGTAATTATTAATAAACTCACACTTTTACCATTTATTACACGAAAAGGTGCTTTAGGAAAATTTCACAGAAAGCCTCACTTGATTGGACATCTCTGTGGACACCGCCGATGCCGCCCGTCACAAAGACATGGATCCCTGCCTTGTGGGCGGCTATCATCGTACCAGACACGGTGGTCCCTCCAGACAATCCCTGCCGATTCCACAAGCAGCACATTACATGCAAGAAATATCCAGTGTGAACAAAGCATTTTGTTTATACCGATTAAATCTATATCTGTTGCTGCAGGTATCAATGAAAAGTTGCCAGAACAATGACGGTTATAATTGTAGCACACTCAGTCACTTTCTGTCACTGCAAGGACTGCTTACAGTGACAGAAGTATGTCGCCTGCCATTTCTATTCAGCCCTAAGTAAGTTAAAAATTCCCCACCCGTAGATTATTTGCATTATCAATATCTATGAAGATCAAGATGTCAACGTACGTATCTTGAACTTATTTCCCACTGTACGTAGCCAACCATGCTAATCAGAGGTGCGGGAAATGGTCAAAGCCTTTGATCTCACCAAACCTCTCCAACGTTTTTTACTCTGTCAGATGCCACCATTGCTGCACAATAGACACACGACCATCAAGACCTATCCGAATAGTATCTCACCATCTGCTCTTAGGTCTTCCCCTTGATCGCCGGATTTGTGAAGACAGTTCCAATGTGTGTCTTGTTAACCGGCCCTCCACCGTCCTGAAAACACCTCCTACCCAACCAGGGCCAGCACGAGGTGGGTACTGGGATGGGGGGTTGGTGGGCCCTGCCCCCCATCTGAAACGAACTGGAAGTGGGCCTGTACCCAACAAAGCCTTGTTTTTCTGGCCACGGCACCACTTCGCTACACTGTGACTGCTACACGTCCACTGCTCTCCGTACTTGGGCGACGACGTAGGCCAGGTCTCGGCGGGACACCTTGACGGCGTCGGGAATCTGCGCCAGCTGAGCCAGCTCCGATTCCTCCAGGCCCACGTGAATCCTGCCGCTCAGCACGCCCACCGTGGCCGGCACGGCGCCACGCCGTGCCACAATCGCCTCCACCTCCAGCGCAGTCCTGCACTCGCCAGCGGACGCTCATTACAGTACCTGCAGCTCGGGCGTAACGGTACATCCTTTGAAATTGATTCTTGAGCTCGCATTATTAATTGAAGTAATAAAATATAATATTCAGCCCTTTATAGTAATAGATTTTTACCCTTTCAACTGGTACAAAAACTGACACCTTAATACAAGGCATCATGTTTGCAATAACCACAACACAAGCAGTCAAAATGCAAACAAAAAGAAACAACTCTGATGATGATAATGATATGCACTGTCCTTGCTTGCATTTTGACTGCTTGTGTTGTAGTTATTGCAAACATGATGCCTTGTATAAAGGTGTCAGTTTTTGTACCAGTTGAAATGGTAAAAACCTATTACTATATTTTGTCACTGGTAAAGGAGGTCTCATAGTATACAGCCCTGTGTCAGTCCACTGCTTAATGAAGGCCTTTCCGTGCTGTGAGGCGGGGTAGGATCGTTGGCGACCGTTGCGCAACAGTGAGAGGTGGTAAAGGTTTGGGGAGGCGGTCATCAAGCAGTGGATTGACCATGGGAGCTGATGATGAAACGCTTATTGACAGTGCTGTTTCTGGACGAGGCCCTCCCCACGCCATGTTCGTCACGGAGGGAGGGTTGTTTGACCCTCCGTGACCGACATGGGTTGCAGGTGAGATTGTTGCGGATTGTTGCGTATTGTGTGATCGTGAAGCACCTGAGGTTGTGTGGGTAGGGCATGCCGTGGGTGACAATGGTGCTCTCCAAAGCAACCACCGGCTGCTGCTTTGCCAAGGCGTCCGCCACATGGGGGTGCACCCTGACCCCATCACCTGCAATGATCACGCATCTCCAAGTCAGCTCCGTAACGTCGCACATCATAATTTTAATTCACGTAGAGTGGATTTAGACTGAGCAAATGGTCAAGCTAGCCTTCTAATTATGATGAACCAATTTAAGATGCTCTTGGTCTCATACGATCACTGATGACTTGTTTACACAACCACTCCTGTTCAATGAGAGAATAAGTACTCGAAAGACAGTTTGGGTTTAAAGTAATGTACGTGTACAGCTGTTTTGGAAATCCACTGCTGGATGAGGGTCTCCCCACGCCATGTGGGCCCTGGGGGTTAATTGAACATTCTTTGGTTTTTTCGGTAAAGTCACGTATAAAAATAAAATAATAAATTAAATAATAGCATACGACGTTTCGATTGCAACACAAGCAATCATCATCAGGTATAATGAAATAGCGACATAGAATATAACCAGAAAACTATAGACAGACATATAAGCAGACAGATATCACCAAGATACATAGAGAGAGCAACCCAGGTACAGAGAGAGGTGATCGTCTCTGTGGGGTGGCCTTAAATAGACAGAGGGGGGCGGAGGCAGAGAGAGGGAGGGGGTAGGGAAAACATTTACATGTCAATGAGTACGAAGGGAGGGGAGTAAGGTAAGCAGGCTTAGAGGGAGACAGAACACACTAAATTAAATAACCTAGCAAAGTATCGAAATGTTATGTAAAACGACACAGAGAGTCGGTCAACACACAATTAACGCATTGCCTGGTCGATTACGTATTTCAAAGATTGCTAAGTTAGAATTTAAGTGTGAAAATTCCAAAGAAAGACAAAACATAAAAAAGAGGAACGGAGACACACAGACAGAGCAGAACCTCTTTTTTATGTTTTGGAATTTTCACACTTAAATTCTAACTTAGCAATCTTTGAAATACGTAATCGACCAGGCAATGCGTTAATTGTGTGTTGACCGACTCTCTGTGTCGTTTTACATAACATTTCGATACTTTGCTAGGTTATTTAATTTAGTGTGTTCTGTCTCCCTCTAAGCCTGCTTACCTTACTCCCCTCCCTTCGTACTCATTGACATGTAAATGTTTTCCCTACCCCCTCCCTCTCTCTGCCTCCGCCCCCCTCTGTCTATTTAAGGCCACCCCACAGAGACGATCACCTCTCTCTGTACCTGGGTTGCTCTCTCTATGTATCTTGGTGATATCTGTCTGCTTATATGTCTGTCTATAGTTTTCTGGTTATATTCTATGTCGCTATTTCATTATACCTGATGATGATTGCTTGTGTTGCAATCGAAACGTCGTATGCTATTATTTAATTTATTATTTTATTTTTATACGTGACTTTACCGAAAAAAACAAAGAATAATTCCTGCAGTCACGAAAGCTCCAAAATTAAGATTAATTGAACATTCTTCAGTAAAGTTTATTTTGAATTACCCTGTGAGCCAATAAGCTCTTAAATCGGGTTTCATCAACAAAAAGTAACACCACCGGCTTCCCCGACATATGCAACAAGTCAGAGTAAAAGAAAATATTAATGAACAGATAAGCGAAAAAAAAAATATAGCAAATCATAATCGCAATGAAAAAAAGAAAAAAAAAGAAACAAAAACAAGTGAAATATGTATTATGAAAATAGCATGCTTTATCTAAAAAAATACTAATTAAAATCTGCCATATTCATAATTGTAATGCAGATTTGGCATAAAACACGATGGCATTAGTGAGGAATAAATAAAACAGCATCTATAAAAAAAACCTGCAATGCGATAAAGTGGTCGCTTACAGGAAATTCATATTTTGCAGCTCGTCGAACTCTTTATACATTGGCAGCAGGGCACGAATTCACATGAAAGTAGCGATTTGCAGTCCAAATTTTGTGCCAATATTGTGCCACAGACAAGGAGGGGCAGCCACCATAAACGCTCGTTCACCAAAACTTGTTTTATGTCTGGGAACGCTCAACACGAGTGATGAACTCCTCAGGTTAGGTCTGCCCTCCGGTCATGTCAACAAATCCAACAAATATTCTGCCGAATTACCATTAAGGATATTGTAAATAAACGCCTGCTAAATCGTCCTGCGATCATGGAGTGATGTTAATTTCGTTTTTTTGTCCGTCACAATGACGAGTCGACTTATAATGGGCATCCGGAGCAAATCTTGGAGCAGAATTATAAGTGGGAATGAGCTTATTCAGTGTTGTATTGGAGGCGGCTTGATACACAACGCCACATGAGTAAAATAATGGTAGTAAGGTAGTCCTTACCAATTCTAACAAAAACTTAGCTGGCAAGCAATGTTTATGTCTGTAGAGAAAGTTAGTTTTTAATTTTGCATTCCTCGCAGTATGTTCAATGTGACCCTGGAAAGTGAGTTAAGAGTTTATGATGACCCCAAGGTAATTTATTTGATCAACCTGTTCAATTTGTTTGTTTTCCAGCGTACATAGTTAAGGAAAAGTTGCCGGTTGCCTTTTCCCTGGAGGTAAAAAAAAAAAAATCACTTTTGATGTATTGGCATTTAAAACCAGCTTAAGTGGGATTAGTTGAAAGGTATTAAAATCGCTTTGTAATATCCTGTGCAAATCTTCAGTGGAGTGGCCAGCAACCATCGAAACAATGTCATCCATGCTGGTCAGTGCGTGTTGAAGATGGGGAGGATCTACGTGGTAAATTACAATGGATTTTGCTGGGCGATTCGAGCGTAGGCTTTTTTAGTGATGCAGTATACAATACATCATCTCAGGCATACACCTGAATTACGAAGGATGCAATAATGCATCAACTCGATTAATATCACTTAAGCAACTGATACATGCATAAAATAACGTGTAGTGAATGTTTTTTATTGGTACATGTTGCAATTGGTACACGTTGCAAAACTTTAACCATGCAGCCACGAGTGGCAACTACATTCACCAAAATGTACAAATTATTCTTCAATTTAAGCACGACTTTGAATCATGGCAATATATCGAATATTTTGGGAGAGGGGGGGGGGGATTACATCGAATATCTGTAGAGGAAACAATGACATTCTTATCCATCACCTACATCATAAAATGTTTCTATGCCGGTTTGCAAAGGACTGTGGCATCAGAATAAAGAGTGACAATTACCGAAAATAAACATTGCAGGAACATGATCGTGATCATATCTAAAGCAACATCTTTAAACGAGCCCGTGCTCTTTGCAGTGGCATCTGATACAGCTCAAAGCAAGTGTAGTATTGACGAAAGCTTACCGTGCAATCGCCTGTGAACAATTTTCAGCACTCTGTGTGCAGTTGGGCATTTCATGAATGATGTCACGAACATGACGCCTGGGTTTTGAAGGCATGGAGGGGGGGGAGTTCATGTTAGGAGGCATGCCAAAAAACAGATGTGTATTCAATCTGCCAGGTGACAAATCGGAATGATGACTTAAAGCTTTCGTGATTGCAGGAATGAATATTTTTGGGTCATTCGGTAAAGTAACGTAGATAGGTTCAAAGAAAATAACAAAAAAACTACGTTTTGATCGCAACACAAGCGGGCGTCATCTTCCTGATCCCGCACGCTTGTGTTGCGATCGAAAAGTCGTAGTTTTTTGTATTTTCTTTGAAACTATCCACGTGACTTTACCGAAAGACCCAAGAATATAAATCGGAATGATGTAAAGCTTCCATTGACCAAATTCGATGACATCGATGGCTATCAGTGACTGGCCCATGATTGTCATTTTGTCCTCAAATGAGAGCTATTATGAGCATCTGCAACGCAAGACAATTGTGCTGTTAATTCACTGGGACCATGGCACAGGGATCGATCCACTGCTGCATGGAAACCTTCATCCGACGCGGTACAGATCGTGGGAATCAATGACTTCACCACGCTGGTTAACGCGAGTTGGTAAAGCCAAGGAGCGTAGCAGATGTGAGCTTAGTACAGCAGAATTAAGTTACATTTCGATTTAAAGCTTTCGTGACTGCAGGTATTCATCTTCTTGGTTCTTTCGGTAAAGTCACGTAGAAGGGAAATAATACAATAATTAAAATAAAACATAATAAAATACATTGTAAATAGTATTTTTTTAAAATAAAACATAAAATACATTGTAAATACATTGTATTTTATTATGTTTTATTTTTTAATACATTGTATTTTATTGTTTTATTTGTTTAATACATTGTATTTTATTGTTTAATTTTTTAATAAAAATAAAACATAATAAAATACAATGTATTTACAATGTATTTTATAATGTTTTATTATTTCCCTTCCACGTGACTTTACCGAAAGAACCAAGAACAGAATTAAGTTGCTGAACTGCCCCCTATTCTGCGCATCACGTAGCATCGCAGCCTATATCAGCTGTTATGCATGCAGCCACTTATTCCAGCACGACCCAGGCTCACCCCATGCTTAGCATACGTCTACAGCACCGTACAAAAATGAAAACACGCACAACAAAGTGCAACAGTTCTAGATTTGAAGCTTCCGTGACTGCAAAGATTCATATTTAGTTTTTTTTCGGTATTTTTTATTATTTACTTTTACCTACGTGACTTTACCGAAAAAACCGAAGAGTATAAAACACTTCAAAACTTTCAAGCGTCTTAACAATTCGTTATCTCGGTCAAGGCGACCTTCCCCAAGCGTGCAGGCACCACGCGCTTGCTCCAAGTGACAACCACGTGCGAACCACGTGGCGTGCTACTCGGCAGCGGCAACCACCGTCCCACCACATCCCTCAAATGCGAGACAGCACATCGACAACGCCTTGCCTTGTGAGAGAAAGTTGATTGTAATGAGTGACTGCCCCCCACTCCACCCAAAACACGAACTCGTCGCAATTTTCGACGAAACTCGCGGACTCCGAACACAAAATCCACCCGCGCTACCACGAAAACAGCCCTCGCACCATTTGCATTCCGTACAGCGGATAAGCGCGCGCGCGCCGCGTCTGCGCTTCCCATTGGACGGCCGCCGCCGTAAAGGCGATCGTGATTGGTCGGTCGCGCGTGCGGGCTACGGTTTTTGTAAGCGGCGCAGCGGTGGCGAATTGCGCGGTGAAGGTTTGTCGGAGCGTGGAAGTTGCCAGGTCGTGAGGTCGTGAGGTCGTGAGGTCATTAGGTCGTGAGGTCGTGAGGTCGCGATGTCGTTGTCCTTGAGCGGCGGCGTCTACCGCAGGATCTTGACCCACCTGCCCCACGAGGTGAGCTTCGCAGTCGCCTACGGCTCGGGCGTCTTCCAGCAGCGGGGCCGCACCGCAGATGCCGCCTCGCCGCCGGTGAGTGACGAGACGACCACACACACACACACACAGCCTCGCATTAACACACAGCTCGCATTAACACACAGCCTCGCATTAACACACAGAGCCTCGCATTAACACACACAGAGCCTCGCATTAACACACACACAGCCTCGCATTAACACACACAGCTCGCATTAACACACACACAGCTCGCATTAACACACACACAGCTCGCATTAACACACACAGCTCGCATTAACACACACAGCTCGCATTAACACAGCTCGCATTAAGACACAGCTCGCATTAACACACAGCTCGCATCAACACACACACAGCTCGCATTAACACACACACAGCTCGCATTAACACACACACAGCCTCGCATTAACACACACACAGCTCGCATTAACACACAGCCTCGCATTAACACACACAGCTCGCATTAACACACACAGCTCGCATTAACACACACAGCTCGCATTAACACACACACAGCTCGCATTAACACACACAGCTCGCATTAACACACACACAGCTCGCATTAACACACACAGCACGCATTAAAACACAGCTCGCATTAACACACAGCTCGCATTAACACACAGCCTCGCATTAACACACAGCCTCGCATTAACACACAGCCTCGCATTAACACACAGCTCGCATTAACACACAGCTCGCATTAACACACACACAGCTCGCATTAACACACACACAGCTCGCATTAACACACACAGCTCGCATTAACACACACCTCGCATTAACACACACCTCGCATTAACACACACACAGCTCGCATTAACACACACAGCTCGCATTAACACACAGCTCGCATTAACACACACAGCCTCGCATTAACACACACACAGCTAGCATTAACACACACACAGCTCGCATTAACACACACACAGCTCGCATTAACACACAGCTCGCATTAACATACACACCTCGCATTAACATACACACAGCTCGCATTAACACACACAGCTCGCATTAACATACACACACCTCGCATTAACATACACACAGCTCGCATTAACACACACACAGCTCGCATTAACACACACACAGCTCGCATTAACACACACAGCTCGCATTAACACACACACCTCGCATTAACATACACACAGCTCGCATTAACACCAAACAGCTCGCATTAACACACACACACCTCGCATTAACACACACACAGCTTGCATTAACACACACACACAGCTTGCATTAACACACAGCTCGCATTAACATACACACAGCTCGCATTAACAACCACACACAGCTCGCACCAACACACAGCTCGCATTAACACACACAGCTCGCATTAACACACACAGCTCGCATTAACACACACACACAGCTCGCATTAACACACACACACAGCTCGCATTAACACACACACACAGCTCGCATTAACACACACACACAGCTCGCATTAACACACACAGCTCGCATTAACAACCACACACAGCTCGCATTAACACACAGCTCGCATTAACATATACACACACAGCTCGCATTAACACACACACACAGCTCGCACTAACACACAGCTCGCATTAACACACACACACCTCGCATTAACACACAGCTCGCATGAACACACACACAGCTCGCATTAACACACACACACAGCTCGCATTAACACACAGCTCGCATTAACACACACCTCACATTAACACACACACACACAGCTCGCATTAACATACACACACAGCTCGCATTAACACACATCTCGCATTAACATACACACAGCTCGCATTAACACACACAGCTCACATTAACACACAGCTCGCATTAACACACACACAGCTCGCATTAACACACACACAGCTCGCATTAACACACACAGCTCGCATTAACACACAGCTCGCATTAACACACAGCTCGCATTAACACACACAGCTCGCATTAACACACACAGCTCGCATTAACACACACAGCTCGCATTAACACACACACAGCTCGCATTAACACACACAGCTTGCATTAACACACACAGCTCGCATTAACACACACACAGCTCGCATTAACACACACAGCTCGCATTAATGCACACACAGCTCGCATTAACACACAGCTCGCATTAACATTAACACAGCTCGCATTAACACATACACCACCTCGCATTAACACACACACCACCTCGCATTAACACACAGCTCGCATTAACACACACACAGCTCGCATTAACACACACAGATCGCATTAACACACACACACCGCTCGAATTAACACACACACACCGCTCGCATTAACACACACACACCGCTCGCATTAACACACACACAGCTCGCATTAACACTAACACACACAGCTCACATTAACCCCCCCCCCCACACACAGCTCGCATTAACACACACACACAGCTCGCATTAACACACACACAGCTCGCATTAACACACACACCACCTCGCATTAACACACACACAGCTCGCATTAACACACACACCACATCGCATTAACACACACACCACCTCGCATTAACACACACACAGCTCGCATTAACACACACAGCTCGCATTAACACACACACCACCTCGCATTAACACACACACAGCTCGCATTAACACACACACCACATCGCATTAACACACACACCACCTCGCATTAACACACACACAGCTCGCATTAACACACACAGCTCGCATTAACACACACCACCTTGCATTAACACACACACAGCTCGCATTAACACACACAGCTCGCATTAACACACACACAGCTCGCATTAACACACAGCTCGCATTAACACACACAGCTCGCATTAACACACACACGGCTCGCATTAACCCCCCCCCACACACAGCTCGCATTAACACACACACAGCTCGCATTAACACACACACAGCTCGCATTAACACTAACACACACAGCTCGCATTAACACACACACACAGCTCGCATTAACACACACACACAGCTCGCATTAACCCCCCCCCCCCACACACACAGCTCGCATTAACACTAACACACACAGCTCACATTAACCCCCCCCACACACACACAGCTCGCATTAACACACACACAGCTCGCATTAACACTAACACACACAGCTCGCATTAATGAGGCAACGGGGGGACACCGACAGAGAGAGGAGAGAGAAACTGAACTGGGGACGTGGAGACGTTGCGGTGATATTGAGAGACGGTGGCGGGGGGGGCTTTAAGGGACTGCTGGTGACTTGGGAGACACTGGGGTCCTGGGGGGGGGGGGGCAACTGTGGCATTGCTATGTCTGAGTGGTAATGGGGGGGGGGGCACGGAGAGATGTTGAGAGACATTCCGCGTGCAATGGTAACTGGATGGTATTGGTGATAGATACTCTAGTGATCGGCAATTGTTGACACCGTCACACTGGGAATACGCGGAGATTGAAAACAGGGAGGCGAGGTGACACTTGGGGATACTTGAAGGCACCGAGTGACATTGGCGAGAGGCAGTGGGGCCATGTGTGAGAGACTGGGGTGGATACTGAGATGCAATCAAAAGCACCGGGTGGGTAATGGGTTGACTCGTCAACAGTTGGACACATTGAGTGTCAAATAGAGGCAACAGATGTACAATGGGTACCGAGAGAGACACTGTGTGGCATGAGTAGTCGTGGGACACTGTGGCACCAGGGATACAGAGACACTGGGGGATACAATGTGGGTGATGAGGAGCACAGAAGGGGAATATGAGAATGGTGCAGTGGGGACACTGGAGACAAAGAAAGGGGAGATGGCCTCATGGCTTCTGAGCGATGCCGGAATGAAGGTCACACACACACACAAATATGGGGTCCTGGTTACAGGGTTTTAACATGCATAACCTTAGTGCCAGTGTAAACACATTCCTGCGGAGGGAGCTGGTGGGAACGTTGGGTTGCTCGGTCAATGGCCAGGGTCAACGGCGGCGTGGTGTATTCCGCAAATATGCCCGACTGTGAGGGCGGGCACAAGCCGGCGTGAGTAGGTTAAACGTTGAGTTTTATAAGGGCACCACGGGGTGACCAGCCCCTCCCCACCCAGCCCCTCCCCACCCTCCCCTCCCCACCCAGCCCCTCCCCACCCTCCACTCCCCACCTAGCCTCTCCCTCCTCACCCAGCCCCTCCCTGCACGACGGACGGACACAATAATCCCCTGTGGGCTGATGTGACCAGGAGGTTCCTACCAGTATGATTATGAATGCTACTAAATCTCACTTTTGTGTAGAGTTCTTTTGTTTAAAGCTTTAAAGCAGTGGAGCAATGCAATGCCTGTTCTTCCCCAGAACACCATGCTGGATTTTGTGCTGGCGGTGGACAATCCTCTGACTTGGCACACTGCCAACCTGAAGAGCAACCCCAAGCATTACTCGGCTCTGCGCTGGCTGGGACCACGGCAAGTGGTCCACCTGCAGGACAAGTACGGAGCCCACGTCTACTACAACACCCTGGTGCCCTGCGAGGGGCGGGTAAGTCGTCCGTGCTGTAGGACGTAGGGTTGCCGCAGTAAAAAAATTCAAGATACGATGGTGTGTGAAATATCACGATATGACAATTATTTCACCATTGGAACCTCATTTGCCAGTAGCAAAATATGATAATTGGTTTTTTTACCCTTTTATCTGGCAACAAAACTGACACCTTTTTTTTTCCTTGTAAAAAACTAAAAAAATTGTACCCGTAAAAACAACGTTTTTCACTCTAAATCCTTTATATGCGTGGCGGCTAGAGTCCTCTCGTCCTCTGGCTTGAGATGGCTGCCACCTATGGGTCAGATGATTGTCTGCCAGCATTAAGCAATTGGTAATTAAATATTTTTAAAAAATTCCCTAAACAGTGTAAAATTTTGGAATTTTTTTTTTACGAAAATTAATTGTCACGCACAATGAGTCTGTGTGGAAAATGTCAGCTCGATTGGATCACGGGAAGTGGGTTAAAAAACGACCGAAAGATTTGCACGGTCGTAAGCAAGCACGCAAGCAAGCAAGCGACGGCTGCTTGCGTTGTGGCCGAAACGTCGTGAGAATTGTTTTATTATGTTTTATTTTTATTATTTTATTACTCCCCTTCTACGTGACTTTACCGAAAGAACCAAGAAGAAGCGAACTTAATATAAAGGATTTTACAATCTATAAAGCTTATATAAGCTATAATGCACATGTCGTTGGTTTAACAAAAAAAAAACGTAATTACCATTTGATATAAGTAGAATGAGCAATGACAAACAAGATAGAATTGAATTTTGATAAACGGATGATAAGATTAACGCAGATTTTATATTTAAGATGCATCTTAATATTGCGAGAATCCAGGAATCAAGACTATAAAATTATGCTTAAACAAATCGGTCAAGTGCCATTGTAAGGCGGACTGAATTTCTTGATAAACTACAATCTTTGATAAAACTGCACTGCATGAGTGACGTGAAGCCAAGTTTAGCTTTGCCCTCCATCAACCAGTCACGTTTGACCCCCTCAAGTTTATCCAATAAATAAAAACTATATTGTGGGTTATTTTTAATTTTATTGCACATGTTACTCGGGTTTTTCATAATTTTATTTTTTTAAAACATTACTCGAGCTCATGAAATTAGAGAAGTGGTAAGACTGTTTAATATTTGCATGGTGAAAAATCTTGATCACATGTATTGTTGACCTGTGCCGAAGGTCTTGGGGTGTATGTAGCTCATCAATACCATCGGTTTGTGGTTCCTTATGGGTAGAATGAGCTTTTATTCAACTGTTTAGGTAAATGAGTGAAGTCAGTGGTGTGACTTTCAGACAATGGTGTGACTTTCAGGCAATGTAAATAATGCCTCAAAGCAAAGCTAAATATAAAAAGTGCCTGCTTTCAAGCTATACTAGGCCTGCAAGGTCTTGTTTAAGTGGGGAAAAAAACATTGTAATCAAAGTGTTATGTCTTATAAATGCAGGCATCCATGTGACTGATGGTGTTCTTTTTTATATATTTTTCAGACGATAAAATATGGAGTTATAAGCACCAAAAACCTGATCGATGATCTGATTCATTGGAAGACGATGTACATTAGTGGCAGACTTCATAAACCAGTAAGTGGTGCAGTTAAAAAAAAATGTACGAATTTTAAAGGAACTGCCATTATATTTAACGCGTTGTCTTAGTTTGATTCAAAATACGTTTGTAATTGATTCCACAGGTGAAGGTTCTGAAACAAAGCAGTGATAGCCGACTAGAAGCTGCGCTTTTGAGCAACTTGAAGAGTGCCATCAATTGTGCTTTTCTGATGCTGCCCGAGTCCTTCAATGAGGAGGAGTTGTATCTTGCCATAACCAGGCTCTCTTATGCAGGTATGGGAATACTATCACTTAAAAAAAGCCTCATTGAGCCTCGAAGCTCATTTTCAGAAGGGTATTGCATTTGAATGTTTGTCCATTTCCTTTTAAAGGAGTGCTTTTGCTTTTAGGAGAAAATGCCTACCTACCCAGTGAAAGTCTAAGCATATGGGGGAAAACATTAAAAGCCCTTTCGGGATCTAGGGATGAAATGTGCCTTACAGATGGAATTTCTTCTTCTTACAAAGATCGATTTACAAACATTTCCTTGACTGCCAGTTCTTGACCACTTTAGAGCCATGTGGGTTTGGGATTTTGACAAACCTGTGTAACCTACCAACTCTTGCTTGGAATCTTCTGGATTACAGTTGTGTTCCACCATACCCAAGCTCTTCCTTTCAGTTTACATATCGATGAACATTGTATTTTAGAAGAGTGTACATTTTGTCCATAGTTTATTGGCTCTGATATTTTTTTTCTTCCTTCATCAGTGGAATGAGTTAAGTGGTTCTCACCAATATTATTCTTCCTGCAGGCGATTTCCGGATGACTGTGGGAGAGGACAGGTCCAAAGTGGAGAATATCGTCAAGCCGAACGTTGAACACTTTCGCAGGCTCTATGCTCGCCTCCTACACGAGAACCCACACGTGGTCTTCAAGCAGACGCAGGGCAAGCTCGAGGTGCAGTCCGGCACTCCAGTCGCACGCAAATGTTTAGCAGTGGTGTGTGAGCCTCTCTGGTGGGGTTAGCGCGTCTGTCCAATTCAACTGAATTTCAGTTGACCTTGTATCCACACACCCTACAATCGTGGCGTTTATTTTATTACAGGCAGGCCAACAATTTTCTGTTTTGATTCTCTTGTTTTTTTATGTGTGCAGTCATTAGAAACCAGTCTGAGACCAGCAAACTCACTGCACTTGAGATCCCAGTTTTGAGAACCCAAATATCTTGATTACAGCTCGACAAACTCTGTGCTATGACTCGTGCACCACTTAGCCACCTGACTTTAAAGTATTAAAAATGTCCCTGAAACAGCAGGCCTAAGTGTAATGGTAATGTGTGTGATATAACTAATAGACATGATAAATCAATTTAAGTCCGTTTTTTTCCTCTTGTAATCCATTAAATCATGCATCTAGGAATTAAATATTTTCTTTTCATGTTGTGATTCATAATAGATGTATTTTTGGGTCCGATCACACAAGTACAATATGTGTTGTAAACCCTCCTTCACCCAACACAGCCAATTAATAAAGTTGTCACGTAAAAAAATGATTACTGCTGCAGCACACAGGCATGTTCAAGAGTAATCTCACAACTTTTAATAAATTAGTACAATGTTCCGCGATCTGACCCAAAAAATATATTCTGAGTCATAATATTGGTCGCTAAAGCCTACGTGTTAATTAATATTATTCAATATTGCTGAATGTATTATTACAATACAAGATCATAAAAGATGCTGACAGCATAGAGATAAAATTTCGATTTAAAGCTTTCGTGACTGCAGGGATTCATCTTCTTGGTTCTTTCGGTAAAGTCACGTAGAATAGAAATAATAAAATAATAAAAATAAAACATAATAAAATCATTCTCACGACGTTTCGGCCACAACGCAAGCAGCCGTCCTCAGGTGGAGAGCAGGTCTGTCGAGGAGACAGACCTGTCAGACTCTGTCTCCTCGACAGACCTGTTCTCCACCTGAGGACGGCTGCTTGCGTTGTGGCCGAAACGTCGTGAGAATGATTTTATTATGTTTTATCGTTTATTATTTTATTATTTCCAGCATAGAGATTACTCATTGATGATGATGATGTGTCCTGTGTGTGGCTGCGTCACAGCTTGACAAGAGCATGGAGAGCCAGTTCCTACAGCTCATGTCACTGCCGCGCACGCTGCAGCAGCAAGTGACTTTACTTGTGGATCCCCCGGGGAGAAACCGCGACGTGGAGGAGGTGCTCTTGCAGGTGGCGCAGAACCCTGACTGTGGAAGTCTGGTGCTGCAAGGTCTGTCTCGGGTGCACACACTCCAGTCACACCGGCGTGTAATTATAAAGAGTGAATTGGTGGATTTAAAAGAGTCGCTGACCAAATAATGTAGAATGCCTCCTCCAATTTCATTAATAAGCTAAGCAGATAATTGTTTTTTTGTTTTACCCTTCTATCTGGCAACAAAACTGACACCTTTTTTACGAGGAGTCATGTTTGCATAGACCACAATACCCGCAGTCATAATGCAAACAAAAAACATAACTCTGATAATGTATGCACTGTCCTTGAAGTTGATTGGTCCACACCCGAGACAGCTTTCCTTAGAGCCTAGTCTCACATGGGTTGGACCAGATGACGCCAAAAGGCGCACGGTGTCAGTTTTGTTGCCAGATAGAAGGGTAAAAAAATCAATTATCATACTTTTTTACTGGCAAATGAGGTTCCAATGAAGCTAAGCAGAATTGCGCCTGGATAGTGTAATGCCATTGCAGTCAGTAGTGGGCCAGTGCAGCAAAATCAAATGTTATTATGCACCTACCCCCATCTTCACCAACCTTGTAATGGCTCAAGAACCGTAGTGTTATGGAACGTGGTGTTGCGAGGTGAAGAGGGGGAGTGCGATGGGATAAGATGAAGGGAGCCTAATCCATGAACCTGCCCTTCAGCAGATAGCTTGAGGCATCGGTTCTCAAAGAGTAGTCCCCGGTAGTCCGCGACGGTTCTCCATGTGGTCCGCGGGCTGACACAAATACAGGTTGATCCAGAAATAATGGCAATGTTTATACCTTTTGTTTCGGACATTCATTTATATTTTACTTATAATATTTAATTTAGAAATGAAGTTAGGTAAATTATTTTGATTTAACGACCCAAGCCCAAAGATCGAAATGCCCCCTCTAAAACAAAACAAAACCCAAACCTGATAGCCGTGTTCACAAAAAAACTTTTTTATGTTCCGGTAATATGAATCATTTTGATTTACTGGTATTTCAAGTTCAAGTTCAATTATTAGGTATAGCCCTGTGAGACATTCGGCTTTTGAATCGGGTGCAACCGCAACAAACAAAAAACAAAAACATGAACAAAAAAACATCTTAAAGTGAATATGTGACTGAGTGCAAACAGAAAATCCAAGAAAAGACAGCAAAATATTGCTGAAAAAAACACGGTACACCAACACTGTGTGCAAAAATCCCAGTGGGATGCAAGTCAAACAACCAACAACAATCACAAGACAACTTAGATTATTTAGAGATAAGTGAATGCATTTTGTCCCAAGGAGTGGGGGGCTGTATGGTTTGCGGAAATGTTTGCATCGGCTGAGTGGTCCGGGGTCCAAAAACTTTGAGAAACACTGGCTTAAGAGAGAAAAGAACACGGCTCAAAGTTACAAAGTACCTGTAAAAATAATAATTACTTCTCATCTATAGCTTGCATTCCCCTTCACATTGAGCATGTAAGCTCTTTGGATGAGGGACCGTCTGCATCCTCTGCTTGTTTTGGGATTTTTAGGCTAAACTGTAGAGCGCTTTTAAAATGAAAGCATTGCAGAAATAATAATGATGCAACTGTGAGGTGAGAAAGGCTTTGTGAAAGTGAAAATATTTTTTGACCAATCCCTCTTGTTAATTTTAAATTCACAGGCATTGTTCAAATTGTGAAATCTTCCAGTCTATCTCAAAGCATCAAGGGCATTGCAACTGCAGGTAAGTTGTGAAAATTGAGCACAGTCACTATTAAGGCTCTTTTTTGTGTGATGCCCTATTGTAATACAGTGCTGTTTTTACAGGGTTGTTAAAAAGCATTAAATACAGTGCGACAAAATTAGGGAAGATGTTGAAGGGCTTTTCCAACAAAACGAAATGATTCGTTGCAATGACCTCAAGGCACAAGCGCAAGTTTGTAGTTTCTTCAAGAGGTCATCCGTCATGGGTAACATCACCGGAAGAACTTCCCACTGAACAATTTCAATAACTCGCTGAACACTCACGATCTTCTGCAAAACGTTCAAATAGTCAATTGCCAATATTTATCTTGTATAAACGTTGCAATATTTTGTAAGTTTTGTTTTATTATTTTGTACATAAGTCTTGCCACGAATTAAAAAAGAATCATATAATGTGTCTTGACCTGGAAATAATGATGTGCCTCCCTGATTTACTGTTGTGGTTTTGTATATTTTGCATGGTTCATATTCTGTACTTGTATAAAAAGAAGCACATGTTTATTGATCAGCATGCCACGATGAATTCTCATGCTGATGTTTTTGCGTGTTATGTTTCATGGGTGTCAAGTTCTGGTTTTGCCTGATGGGAATAGTGTTTCGAGTGTTTTTGTTTTGGCCAATTTTCTTGGAAAGTTGACAGAACCTCAAGGAAAGTGCCATTGTGACGCATAAAGGATTTTTTTTGTTTTAAGAAAAATTTCCTTCAATGTGCTTTTGCACTTAAACCTGTACATTATATTGTATTTGGGCCTTGCGCGGCACAATGACACCTTTTGACCGTGCTGTATTTGTGAAATGGGAGGTTGAAAATATTGAGACTGTGAACATTGGCGGGCACCACTGCTTTACAATTGTGGGGGTGGACGGGAGCTACATCTCACTGGGAGGGTGTGATGTCAAGAAAAAGGTGGTGGGTGGGATTGTGCATGCGCGGGCAGGGGAGGAAAGACCAGGGGGTGGGTTTGAGGTGACGTTGCAGATGTTAAGTCGGGGGTGGGGAAATCTTGCCGAGGAGACGGAACGCGACACCGATTAATTTCACGTGCAAAGGATACGAATTTCAATCCCCCTCTGAGGGTCTTTAACATTGCTCCATCTGCAATACAGTGCATTACATTTGTTAGGCGCTTTGCGTACATGATGTTTAACAGTACAATTATATGTTAACTTGTATCTTGCTGTTAAAAGTAAGTATCTCGACTCATGCCTCTACATCCAAAGTAGTGTTAGTCCGGTAGCTGTTGCCTATTGTTTGCCTCACAGTATGCCTTCCCTGTGGTGCCTGTGTTGTTGATTGCACATTAAATATACAAATATTTGTCATGTGTGGCCGTCCGCAGTTTGTTTTTGCATAATCTATACCTGAAATGAATATATCTTGCACTGTCTGCATTTAACACACAAATAACCCACTTAAGATAAACACTATCGCAGCATATAGAGACCATTTACATATAAGTTTGAATACGCATTGTTTGATACGGTGCAGTGAACTTATTCATGCTTTGCTAGAAGTACAACATGATGCTGCCAACACTTGATCTTGCTTACATTGGTGGGAGGGTGCATTGATAAGTAGCTGTTCCTACTGTGGACCAGACATTTGTGAGAAGGGGCTCATGCCCAAGTACGAATGCATACGAGTAAATGTGTGGGGCATGTGAATACTGCACTCTGAAGTCTAAACATTCCCCTCTGATTGGATATTATGGCCCCTTATATCGAATTTAATTAGGTTAAACCTCAATATTTAATACAAAGTTAATTCCCCTATAGCTATGCACATAGCATGCAGTACACGATATTGTACAGCAGGTGGCATGGAAGTGCTTTATGTTACATCGCATGCAGTACTTAACACATTCATGCGGAGGGAGTTGGGTTGCTCGGTCAATGGCCAGGGTCAACGGCGGCGTGGTGTATTCCGCAAATATGGCCGACTGTGAGGGCGGGCACAAGCCGGCGTGAGTAGGTTAAACGTTGAGTTTTATAAGGGCACCACGGGGTGACCAGCCCCTCCCCACCCAGCCCCACCCCTCCTACCCTCCCCATCCTCTCCACCCAGCCCCTCCCTCCCCACCCAGCCCCTCCCTGCACGACGGACGGACACAATAATCCCCTGTGGGCTGTGTAACCAAGAGGTTCCTACCAGTATAAGAGCACATGCTGCAGTATATTATTAACACGTGGAGATGGGTATTGTGAGTAACCAATGAGGGTGCGAACAGAAGGAATTGCGAGGAGGTTGACGGTCAAGGATGACGTAACGTCACGGGTTGTGTCAGGGGCTTCGGAGAGCACCTTCGAGAACATGGGCAGGGCCAAGCTGGAGGGAGGAGCTGCCCAAAGGGTTCTTTAGGGGGCCCCCGTGTCAGACGAAGGTTGGGTCGTCGTGGGGAGCCAGGGTAAGGATCGGCTGAAGAGGGGGTCGCGGAGCGGTGTTGGCTGAACCCCCCGCTCCGGGCAGACGAGTGAGAGAGCCCAAAGGGTAGACGAGGGTAGGACACAAATAGTATTCAGTGTCCGGGGTAAAGGGCCAAGATAGAGTGCACCAAGGCCGTAATTATAATAATTATAATATATATTGGGGGGGGCACATCCCCCAATATTCAAATATGCTCAAAATGTCCCTCCCAATATATTGCTATAATAAATTGCTATGCTATGTAAATAAAAACAACAATTTGCTAAACCTTGGCCACAATATCTGGACTTGTCTTCATATAAATCAATGCATAGATTACTGTTTATATGATTGTGGTTATGGGCATAATTGTACTTTATTAATCCATAATCTGCCATTACATATAATGCAAAAAGGAAAAACAGAGCAATGTAATACAATACACTATTAGACATTATTGTAAAAAAAAAAGTCCATCCCATGTGTTAGTGAATTTTTTTATATTTTAGGCAGGAAATTAGTTTTCAATTTTAGATATGTTTCTGGGTTGGGGGACCCCCAGACACCCTGGAAGATGTGGTCCCCACGGCCTTGGAGTGCACCTACACTGTGTAGAATGCTGAGTGTGAGAGTGTTTTAATGAACGGCAACAGCCCTTATCGTATTCCTCGTATCCGCGTGAGTCTATTGCACAACACGTGTGAAGATGAATACTATAGTGATATAAATAATGATTTTATAGTCCCAAATAAAACGAGACGCGTAGAACTCCGTGCAACTACATGTCAACCCACACATGGCTCGGATTAGTGGGAAACAATCTTTGGGATCATGCATTTGCAGCAATAGGCGAATGCACACCACGTAATATTTTATTACAGAACAATTCAGACCTTATTGGTCACCCCGTGCCCTTATACATCTCAATGTTCATCCTACAAAGTTCCACCACAAGGGAGAAACACAAACAAATATTAAAATGTTCCCGTATTGAATCAGCTGTACGCCGTATGGACCTGAAAACTCAAATGTCCCTGTACAACCCACATGGGTTGACAGGTTTGTGTATAGATGGCCAAGTTTGAGTCATAGGCAGGAGAGGGATTTGAGCCAAAACTTGTAAACAGTTAAGTAGTCGGCCATGCCTACGAGAAAATCGCGGTACATTGTGAACAATTAGCACTTAGCGAGCGTTACTCAGCGTGCGTGCGGACAACTGGCAACGCAAATGTGCCCCCCAAGCGTTGAAACCTAAGAATGTGAGCCCCCCCACCCTCCTTTCCCCCCCACCCTCCTTTCCCCCCCACCCTCCTTTCCCCCCCACCCTCCTTCCCCCCCCACCCTCCTTTCCCCCCCCCCCACCCTCCTTTCCCCCCCTCCCTCCTTTCCCCCCCACCCTCCTTTCCCCCCCACCCTCCTTTCCCCCCCACCCTCCTTCCCCCCCCACCCTCCTTTCCCCCCCCCCCACCCTCCTTTCCCCCCCACCCTCCTTTCCCCCCCACCCTCCTTTCCCCCCCACCCTCCTTTCCCCCCCACCCTCCTTCCCCCCCCACCCTCCTTTCCCCCCCCCACCCTCCTTTCCCCCCCAACCTCCTTTCCCCCCCACCCTCCTTTCCCCCCCCACCCTCCTTTCCCCCCCTCCCTCCTTCCCCCCCCCTCCCTCCTTTCCCCCCCACCCTCCTTTCCCCCCCACCCTCCTTTCCCCCCCTCCCTCCTTTCCCCCCCTCCCTCCTTTCCCCCCCACCCTCCTTTCCCCCCCACCCTCCTTTCCCCCCCCACCCTCCTTTCCCCCCCTCCCTCCTTTCCCCCCTCCCTCCTTTCCCACCCCACCCTCCTTTCCCCCCCACCCTCCTTTCCCCCCCCACCCTCCTTTCCCCCCCACCCTCCTTTCCCCCCCACCCTCCTTTCCCCCCCACCCTCCTTTCCCCCCCACCCTCCTTTCCCCCCCACCCTCCTTTCCCCCCCCCACCCTCCTTTCCCCCCCTCCCTCCTTTCCCCCCCTCCCTCCTTTCCCCCCCACCCTCCTTTCCCCCCCTCCCTCCTTTCCCCCCCTCTCTCCTTCCCCCCCCTCCCTCCTTTCCCCCCCACCCTCCTTTCCCCCCCACCCTCCTTTCCCCCCCACCCTCCTTTCCCCCCCACCCTCCTTTCCCCCCCACCCTCCTTCCCCCCCCCCCACCCTCCTTTCCCCCCCACCCTCCTTTCCCCCCCACCCTCCTTTCCCCCCCCACCCTCCTTTCCCCCCCTCCCTCCTTTCCCCCCCTCCCTCCTTTCCCCCCCACCCTCCTTTCCCCCCCTCCCTCCTTTCCCCCCCTCCCTCCTTTCCCCCCCCTCCCTCCTTCCCCCCCTCCCTCCTTCCCCCCCTCCCTCCTCCCCCCCTCCCTCCTTCCCCCCCTCCCTCCTTTCCCCCCCTCCCTCCTTTCCCCCCCTCCCTCCTTTCTCCCCCCTCCCTCCTTTCCCCCCCTCCCTCCTTCCCCCCCCTCCCTCCTTTCCCCCCTCCCTCCTTTCCCCCCTCCCTACTTCCCCCCCCCCTCCCTACTTCCCCTCCCCCCTCCCTACTTCCCCCACCCTCCTCCCCCCCCTCCCTCCTCCCCCCCTCCCTCCTTTCCCCCCTCCCTCCTTCCCCCCCTCCCTACTTCCCCCCCTCCCTCCTTCCCCCTCCTTTCCCCCCCTCCTTTCCCCGCCCCCTCCTTTCCCCCCCCCCCTCTCCTTTCCCCCTCCCTCCTTCCCTCCTTCCTCCCCCACTCTCCCCTCCCTGTCCTCTCCCTCCCTCCTTCCCCTCTCCCTTCCTCTCCCCTCCTCCCCCCCGTGTCGTCACTTCCTGCCCCGCGCCCCACGTGTCGCCAAGGCGAAGTCGCTCACCACCACCACCACCACGCGTCTCGCTTTCTCGCCTCGTTTCTTAAGCCGCCCGCGTCCTCCTGCCACTGTCGCTCACGCCCCCGTTTGGGCTGTTGCCTCTGCCCCCAACAGCACGTTCAAGAAGTCGTGGGGTAGGTAGCCTTTGATATCTGGGGTTGGTTTTTAAACAAAAAATCGTCCTCCGTGCGTGCATTCAGACTGGCACCACGTGTTGTTGTGGTGATGGGCAGATTCATTTCCATGCGGTGCTTTTGCCTTTGCTTATGTTTTTAGTTGTTGCTACTTTTGTATGTAATAATGTACTATTTAATGTGACGGATGACAGGCGTGAGTCGTGTGTTTGGTACTTGTGTGAACAGTACTCGGCCGCTTTAGTATGATCACAATACTGTACATAGGGCGGGTAAAGTTGCAGCCTTGCAATTACGTCCTCATGCCACTGCTGGCAGAAGATGCCTGCACGAGTACAACGGACTTTACTGAGCTCGTGTGTGTCCCTCTAAGAACCCATTCAAGGCCCTCTCAAACCCCTGCGTAGTCCATGCACAGTAGCGAATGTCTAATACAGTACATTGTGAGTAGCAGCAGAGGGCAGTGTAATAACGTGAGTGATCAGCAGAAACTATCGAGATTTGAAGTTTTCGTGATTGCAAGGATCCATACTCTTGGTTCTTTCGGTAAAGTCACGTAGGTAAAAATAATAATAAATAAAATAAGAAATATTTTACTTTTATTGTTTTCTTTTCCTAAAATAAAAATAATAGTTTATTAAGTTTAATTCATTTTATTTACCTAAAATAGAAATAATAGTTTATTACATTTTTATTTATTATTTTCTTTACCTAAAATAAAAAAAATTACTTGTTTTATTTTAACTTATTATTGTCTATACTTACGTGACTTTACCGAAAGAACCGAGATTATGGAGCAGAAACTATGGCTAGGAAACTGTGCTCTAGCTATTGTATGTAATTCATCATGTGGATATCGAACAAACGCCATTGCTTTTAATTTGACGGTGGCCTCTCCGCAATAATAAAAACTGGGCTATAGCCCCTAGTGTCAATCATGGTGACATTTACAATGACCATGTCAGCAATCGAGTGCCCTGAGTTTTAACAGGGGCAGAAAGTCCCGTGCCCCTTTGCCACTCAAAGTTTTCCCATGCATTGTGGTTTGGTGATGCAAAATTATTGGTTTATGCCAGTACACCGGTGCCAGCTGCTAGTCAAGTTTAAAAGGATGCAGGAGAAGGCATTTTGAATGATGAATGCAAACTGCAATTAAAGTGTGTTTTCTCGATAAAGTAATGTGTTATTCTTTGGTTCTTTCGGTTAAGCTTTAGACGTGACTTAACCGAAAGAACCATATAATAATTCCTGCAGTCACGAAAGCTCCAAAATTAAGTAATGTGTTATTTTATTGCAGAGCAAGTGAGACAACTATTTGTTAAAGTACATTTAATTAAAGACCTAATAAATACTGTAAAGGAGGTTTCTAATTTAAATAAATGATTCTCAACAAAGATGGACATCATTGATCAAGTGGGTTTTACTATATGCGCGTGTAGTTTGTCACAGCACAGCTGGAAATGTCAGCTGTTTATCATTGTGTGGAATTCAAAGTTTACGAGCAAGATGGATTGTTGCTGAACTTATAGGTTGATGGCAGTGTTGGTAGTCATACATCCAGCAGTCAAAAGAACATGGCTGATGATGACCCACATTCGTTCATTAAACGGCTCCCCTCTCTGTTCTGTACTTCACCCAGAGACGAATCGAAAGCTAACCATGCTCACTCCGGCATTCGAGTTGAGCCAAGACACCGATCACCTGACACTGACGATTCGCGTGCCCTATGCACGTGTCTCAGAGCTGGACCTTTACATCGATGGTCACGACTTCAAGTTTTACGCCAAGCCCTACTTCTTGAGGCAAGTGCTGCCACACAACACAGTTCCTTGCCCGGAGCACAAATACACCCGGATGATAGCAGTTCAGCTCCCCCATGTGTTTCGGGCTGTACTGTGCGTGCGGTATATGTCCGACATTTCACTGCACACCCTGGAAGCATCTTCAGGAAGGCGAACATCGTGCCGAACCACATGCGGTACAATCCAAAAACACATGGGAAAGCTGTACAGCACAACCAGAAAAGCATATGCAATAAGTAGCATAGCTATAATTGTTTTTTTACCCTTTTATCTGGCAACAAAACTGACACCTTTTTTACAAGGAGTCATGTTTGTATAGACCACAATACCTGCAGTCATAATGCAAACAAAAAACATAACTCTGATAATGTATGCACTGTCCTTGAATTTGATTGGTCCACACCCGAGACAGCTTTCCGTAGAGCCTAGTCTCACATGGTGTTGGTCCAACCCATGTGAGACTAGGCTCTAAGGCTCTAAGGAAAGCTGTCTCGGGTGTGGACCAATCAACTTCAAGGACAGTGCATACATGATCAGAGTTATGTTTTTTGTTTGCATTATGACTGCAGGTATTGTGGTCTATACAAACATGACAAACATGACTCCTTGTAAAAAAAGGTGTTAGTTTTGTTGCCAGATAAAAGGGTAAAAAAACAATTATATTTTTTACTGGCAAATGAGGTTCCAATGAAGTATGATAGCTGTTGACATTATTTTATGAACTAACAGGTTACGTTTTTGTTGGGTGACATCTTGCCCTTGTTATCTATGTTCTTTGGACATATTTGCAAATTCCACATTCAAGCCAGTATCAAAAAATGCTACCCTTGATTTTCATTCATAAATTGAAATGCTCTGTTAGGTTGAATTTGCCAGGACGGATAATTGAAGATGGACGAGAAAAGGCCTCCTATGATGCAGAAAAAGGTGCGGTGTTACACTCAAATTATACAAATAATTTATTCCACCCATTAATGTTAAACCAGGTGGGAGAGCCCATGGAAACGAAACATCTCTTTGTCAAAGGAGGATCTGATCACAAAGCAACATGGTGCATTTACAGTGGAAATATTTCTTAACATAATTAAAGATTTAGCGGTAATAACATATATAGTGTAAAATGTCTAATACAATACTTTACATCTTGACTTAAAGCTTTCGTGACTGCAGGAATTCATATTCCTTGGGTCTTTCGGTAAAGTCATGTAGATAGTGACAATTCGCGTGCCCTATGCGTATCTACGTGGCTTTACCGAAAGACCCAAATAATTCAAAACTTTACATTTTGCTGTTATATATTGCTTTTCATGCAGATGATCCCAGGTTGCATTACCATAAAAAACACTCTTTGGCTGATCAATCCAGCTCAAGGATGAAGCTAATGCAAAAAAATGTTTCAATTAAACCTAAAATAGTATCACTTCAATGCGATATATTCCATCCATATTGGGTGTAATTCATTAACATGTCTTCAAATAAAATCCACCAGAGTTCAATAGCATGATATGCATGAAAACTTGTAAAACTGTGGGTTAAAGAAAAACTCAACACATTCATCAGCATTGGAAGTAAAATATATAATAGACGATTTTTCAGGAAACAAGCCTTATTAATAGAATGCAAAATAATGTGAATTTGCTGATATTGTTTTGAATTGTGCTTGTTCACCACTGTCAGTGCAGCTTTAGCAAATAATTTGTTTTGTATGAGTAAAAGTGTCACTTCTAATTATTTTGTTTTCTAACTGCCAGGCGTGTTCACTATACGAGTCCCCAAGGAGAGCCCGGGGGAGCACTTTGAAGGGTTGGACATGCTAACGGCACTCTTAGCTCCCAGAGGATCCCGCTCAGCCAAGACGCTTGTCAACGAGATGGGTAACTAAAGTAACTCAAGCACATGACAAACTTAATTAAGCGGTATGATCATGGTCAGCGCGACTGTAACGTAGTACCTGTGGGCGTGACAGAATGGCATGCTAGTTTGTTTTATTTCTAATATACCCATTGGATGGATGCATGTGTCCGAATCTAGCAGGATGTGATGTGAGAGTGGGAGATTTGTACGGGATTGAAAAAAATGTGACTGTTCTCTTCCATATGTCAGCTTCTATTCATCCCTGCATGAAAATGTTATCTAGTATTACAGTAACAGAAGAGACCAAATCACCCACACTGTTGCCAATCTCTTCAGATATCTAAAACTAAGCACGCTTGTGCCTGGATAATGCTTGTATGGGTGACCAGCGTGCTTACAATTGTTGTCATGAACTGCTGCGACGCTGTATTGTCACCTGAGGGCAGTCCAGAAAGTTCCATTGTGCTCTACCTAATGCCTACAGTCCCTGCCTTCAACCCGCAATGACTAGCGTGGCGAAGTATTGCCACATAATCCCCCATCACCATTCATCAGTGGTTTCTCAAAAGGGCCGTACATGGCATTCACATTGTTAAATGAGTCCATCTCGTTGATCGCATTCTGCAACAGAAGTGAGTACATGGTTTGCCGTGCTGTGCCGTCTGCTCCAGGGACACTGGGTGAGAGCCAGGAGGGTGTGGAGGAGCATGACGATGAGGAGGATGACGAGGAGGAGTTTGACTGGCAGGTGGAACAGCAGCCGTATGAGGAGCCGGCATGCTTGGGCGGCACTGGCTACGGATTTGGGGGATCACGCACTGGTGTCTTCCACCGACTGCAGGTCCGGAGAGAACTGAGCGAGCTGATGGTGTCAAACACAAATCCCCCGTCGGGATTTGTGAGACAACTTTGGGATTTTCAAAGCGTGCGCATGAGGGCAACGACTGCCTGCCTTAAGGGAGCCATGTGTCACATGAGATGGGCACAATAATCTTTATTAGACAAAGACATGCATTGCATCTGTTAGTAATACATAAGTGTACGGAGAATTGTGGGACAAATGTAAAAACAAATATTACGCAAAATGTCTAGTACATTGCATTTTTTCGTATTTGAAAATTTGCATTACACTCACAATTTTCAAATCCAAGTTCAACCCCGCTTGGATGGGCGACCACAATGTATAATAGTTGTTATCGGCTATGGAGCTATGTTGTGGGAAGCAGAGAGCAGTCCAGCACAATAAATTGTTTGACTGTACTTCAGTGCTCCCACATGTTTCCAACCTTCTCCAGCCCACACTGACCAAATAACCCACCCACATACCCGGTGTGTCGAGTGGCTTGGCAAAAGGTTCTTCATGTACATTTTGCGTTACCCATGCATTTTTCATGACTTCGATAGGGGAGTGGTTGTATGATTTTTGCTTGTTGAATCTCTTGCAAAACAAATCTGCCACGTGCAGAAGCAAGTTTTGTATTCCCCTAGATTCTGGGCATGTGAGTGCAGTGCAAGCATTGTCATAGGCTGGGCCCTTTTTAAATCCTTTATATTAAGTTCACTTGCTTGCTTGCGCGCTTACGACCGTGCAAATCTTTCGGTCGTTTTTTAACCCACTTACCGTGATCCAATCGAGCTGACATTTTGCACACAAACTCGTTGTGCGTGACAATTTATTTTCGTGAATTTTTTTTTCCAAAATTTGACACTTCAGGAAATTTTTTTTTTCATATTTAATTTAAAATACCAATGTGATAAAAATGAAACTCTTACTCAAGAAAAACAGAAATGAATAATAAAATAAAACCGATGCCACGCATATAAAGGATTTATAGTGAAAAACTTTGTTTTTACGGGTTAATTTTTTAATTTAACATGCCATTGGGTTGGGGGGGTCACATGTGTTGGATGCAGGAAGAGCTGAGCGATGTCATCGACCTGCAGAGTCCAGAGAGCTCCACAGCGGCACAGCGCAGGGCACTCCGTCTGCAAGCGGAGGATTCAAAGTTTGACGCTGATCATTACCTGTGAGTTGCTGTTCCTGTGTGTAAAATAGAAAAATAGATAAATATATATCCTTAAGTTTTTAATGTACTCTTCTGTATAGGAGTTCATTTTATAGTGCTACTCATTTTTTCACATTGCTCGACTTTTTTCCACTGCTCGCTACTGCTGGCATCATCAGGAGATGAAGTTAAGATTCCAACACTCGTGCATGGCAAAAGCTTGAGAGTAGATATATTCAATACGCAGCCTAACCCAGACGACTACAATGATTATGAAATGGTTGCGAAATGCTACATCCTTAAATGTATATTGTTCAATGAATTAATTATACTGTAGTTACAAATATCCATATTTAAAATTATATGGAGATTACGTTGTAGAGTGCATATTCATTACATTCCTTAGGAGAGGGGGTGGTGTTTATTTATGATTGCGTGGCATTGTTGTGGACGTGCACTGGATTAGCATTTATTTTCTAGGTCATTTCCCACCACAGGTCCCAGGTCATTAATATGCAGATGCTTCATTTTAATGAGCACGTGCCTGGTGTATTGAGCAAGCAGGTAATTACCAACAGTGACGTGGTGTAAAATGCCATCAATTGCCATGTGGTTGCCATGTGCTGCTTTGTCAGAGCCGACTACTTTGAAGACGAGCCGGTCATGGAGATGTTGAGCTACCGGCCTTGGTGGGACGGCTGCGATGCTGGAGCAGGTGAGAAACATCTGCACCACTGGCGGAGCCAGTGGGGGGAGGGGGGTGGCACGTGCCCCCCCCCAATGATCCGATCGAAATCCCTAATTTAGATCGGATCATTGGGGTTTATTAGTAATATATCGGCATTTTGCGACCCTCACTGCTACTGTGTAGCGTATTATTATGTGCCAGGGACTCTATGAGATGATAGGACAATCGCATGAGTCCATAATTGGCAATAAGTAACGGCAAAGCAGTTATAAGTGACTCACAGAGTTGTGTGCAGTTGCGTATACAGTACACGACTTCCCTGAAGGCAAACACCTTCAGCGAGCGCGATGCCGATCACACACGGTTCGAATTCGACCCTCGATCGATGGTTGCACCACCGTCGCACACGCGTCGAATAAAAAGCAAGGGACAAGTCCTTACTTACTAACAACTCCTATCATTTTTCATTGCCGGAGGGGTTGCCCCCCTACCTGAAAATCCTGGCTCTGCCATTGATCTGCACAGTGCCAAGAGACATTGGTGCGACGTTTACCGCATATGTGTGGTAAACATGTCTTTGCCAGTGTCGTGCTATGTTAACAGTGAAGGAAAATATGCACGTACACCCACCCCGAGGGGGAACTCCCTTACGTCGTGGGGGTCATGAGGTATGTTTGAACATACTTCGCCACGCTGGTCAGTGCAGCTTGGGGAAGGTGAGGAGGAGTTTAGCACGGAGGTTTTTCGCAGCCACTCGTAATCCAAGTGTGGTCAGGGCGCGTATTAAGCATTTCCACACACGACTGCAGCGTCTTAGGGAGTTGAAGATGTGTGCTGTAGTGCGTGGCGGACAGCTTGAGAAAAGAATGCTAAACATGGTCGAATCTGGAATCCCACACTTGGTAAAGAAGAATATGGAAATAATTAAGGTGCTGTGGTTTTTACATGCTTTTATTTAACTCACTTCGTCTGTTGTATCCTCAAAAAAGAAATCTTGTAACTCAATTATTACACACTAACCAATGTGCTATTGACTGCAAACTTTGTATAGGTATGTCATACTGATGACAACACGATATTCTATCATAAAAAATCCAAAACATATATTTAAAAAACTTTTTACACGCTTTTATTTAACTTACTGTATGTGTTGTTATATCCAAAACGCTTGTAACTCAATTTCAACCGTATTGCCAATGTCGTATCGACTGCAAACTTCGTATAGCTATGTCATACTGATGACAATACTATATTCTATCATTGAAAATAAAAAATATATTTTTTAAACGATCTTTTTAACGGCTCTAATTGTCCACGCTCAACTGACGTTGCCTGTAAATCACCACGTGGTCCCTTACGTCACGGAAAGCCTCGGGGAGCCATGCCCAGGGGCGGGGTATGTGGAAGGAGGGGAGGGGCGATGGAGGAAGGGGGCAGGGGGAGGGGCAGCTCGGACAGTACATTTAATTAAAGCGTGTTTAAAAAAAGAAAGTTTTAAAAAATATTTTATGTCATTTCAGTTCCCTTCACAGAGGAGGATAAGGAGCAGCTCAGACGTTTCACCAACAAGAGCTTTGTGCTGGACCGAACATCTCGACGCCAGGCCTACCTGGGCATGGTGGACATCATCCTGGCCGTCGCCTACGATGTCCGCATCACAGGCGGCGAGAGCCATGTAAGGGTGCTCAGTGGCAGTGTTGACTCCGCCGGTCAGACTATGCCATCCCATTGTGTTTCTGCTCCGTTAGTTAGATAGACGAGACTTTGAGGGCCGTAATGTTAGTCACGGCTGGGCTTGGCCTCTTAACGGAGCTCAGTTCAAGTTTGAGCCACTCGGTTGCTTCCAAAAATGCTTGAGTGGCTCAGCTGTTGTTGCTTGGCTTGGCTCAGGCTTAGCTCATGGAAATCTTGAGCATGGCTGGAACCATGATTGAAGCCTGCTCAGGTGAAGCGTGGCTTTGAGCTTACTTAGATTTGTGCCAAAGTTAATCCTGAGCCGAGCTGAGAGTAAGAATATGGGCCTCGGGCAGTAGTGCACAAGCACATTTGAAAACCAAACAGTTTATACATAAAATAACTTGTCTCTCCTTTGTCAGTCCACTGCTGGATGAATGCCTTCCTATGCTGTGTTGGTCATGGGTCAGTGGGGGTTGTTGAGGAGGGGTGGCCCCAGAATAAGTTCAGGTATCGCTTCCCACAGATGTTATCCGTGGCCAGGAATCGAACTCAGGTTGCCGGATTCAAAGTGCAGTGCACTTGCCACTGCTACCGCTTTAACCCCCTTATACGTTTGACTTTTTAGGGTTTGTCTGATATACGCCATGTCCTCCAGTGTAGAACTGTTCATATCAAACAAAGTAATTTATCAACTTGGTTTGAATGTTCAATGCATCTCATGGTACTAAAGTGCAATGTGGCACCTCCAACTGTTCGTCAATCTGCCCTTCCCTCTGTTAAAAACCAAGGCCTATGCCCATACTTGTAGCAAGTATGTATTTTAAGTGGTAATAATGAGGGAAGTTAATTTCGTGTTTATCATTTGGGATTATTTGGGCCAGTCGGGATGGGTTTCTGTTGCCCATGAGTTGTTCTTCACAGGGCGTTTTTCCACAGGTGGAGGGACCCTGGAACATCCGCAAACTCAGTGGAACTCTGTGCTGGTTCGAGGTGGGAAATATAGTCACATTTGAATATGTATATATTTGTAAAATCATTAATATTCACTTGCGATGAAATGCGAGTTTGGTGTGCACATATCTTGTCATGCTTAGATGCCTCAATCTCTTAAGGGAGCATACACGCTTATTACTGACGTTCTGTTTACGCATCATTTCAGACTTATGAGACTCTACAAGAAGTCCTGGTGTCCTTTGCAAGGAGAGCGCTTTGCTATCCACTTTACAGGCACTTTGGACTCGTCTCGAAGGTAGTAGAAGATGCAGCTCGTATATTTGCTCTGGGTAAGGAATTTTGTTCGGTGATCATTTTAATCGATGAACACTGTATCCCTATGCACGTTCAACTCTGTGATGTCAAATACCACATGTAGTACGTGATGAAATGTCTGGTCTCCCACTCACCGGAGCGTGCGTGTGTTGTGTACGTTTTTGCCGTCGCTCTTTAACTCCTTGCGTTGTCGTTTGCCTGCAGGCAGACAGGGTGTGATGAAGTGCCTTCTGGCAACACACAAGTTGTTCCGTGAGAATGACCCTGCCTACATCCTGAATGACATCTACATCACCGACTACTGCATCTGGGTCCAGAAGACGAAGTAAGCAGTGCAAGTTGCAGTCTCTCCCACCCACAATCTTGAGTGTTGCTATAATTGCCACTTGACGATCTGCTTGTAATTCCTTCATTGCCACAGACCTCACCGCCTCCTGAACCTCGCCGACGCCCTTAGGAAAGCTAAGATAAGCAAAGAAGAGCTGGGATTCGATCTGCTGGAGGAGGAAAGGATCGCGCTCATGGTGCAGAAGGAGCAGGTGCCTACAGCAGCCATGCTGCATGCCCTCATTCACTGCTTAGGGGGGCGTCAAATGAAAGCTAGAATACATGTCTTGAGCCTACTCAGACATCACGTTTAATTGTTTAACAGACCCGGGGATAGTCTCCCTTTTGCAAGAGTGATCTGGGTCGTCAAAATGACAAAAGCGAGATACAGGACAGCTCTGCCCCCTCGTGCGTCACCCCCTGTGAGTGACCCCGTGTGAGTGACCCCCTCGTGAGTGACCCCCTGTGAGTGACCCCCCCGTGAGTGACCCCCTCGTGAGTGACCCCCTGTGAGTGACCCCCTGTGAGTGACCCCCTGTGAGTGACCCCCTGTGAGTGACTCCCTTGTGAGTGACCCCCTCGTGAGTGACCCCCCCTCATAAGTTACCCCCCTGTGAGTGACCCCCTGTAAGTTACCCCCTATGAGTGACCCCCTCGTGAGTGAACCCCTCGTGCGTGACCCGCTGTGTGTGACCCCCTGTGAGTGACCCCCTGTGAGTGACCCCCTCGTGTGTGACCCCCTCGTGAGTGACCCCTATGAGTGACCCCCTGTGAGTGACCCCCCCGTGCGTCACCCCCTCTTGTTGATGTAAACGACATTGCATTCACCGGTTGCCAAAACTCTGAAGGGCGTTGCTGCATCCTTTTGAGAAGTCAACTTTTGGGGGGAAAACTCGACGGTGTCTTTTTTTTAATTGTGAAGTAAGTTGTATTGTGTAGTCAGTTGTGTTGTGTAGCAAATTGTATTGTGTAGTTGTATTGTGTAGCAAGTTGTATTGTGTAGTTTTATTGTGTAGTAAGTTGTATTGTGTAGTTGTATTGTGTAGTAAGTTGTATTGTGTAGTTGTATTATGTAGTAAGTGTGTATTGTGTAGTACGTTGTATTGTGTAATAAGTTGTGTTGTGTAGTTGTATTGTGTAGTAGTATTGTGTAGTAAGTTGTATTGTGTAGTTGTATTATGTAGTAAGTGTGTATTGTGTAGTAAGTTGTATTGTGTAGTAAGTTGTATTGCGTAGTAAGTTGTATTGTGAAGTTGTATTGTGTAGTCAGCTGTGTTGTGTAGTAAGTTGTATTGTGAAGTTGTATTGTGTAGTAAGTTGTATTGTGTAGTTGTATTGTGTAGTAAGTTGTATTGTGTTATGTAGTAAGTTGTATTGTGTTATGTAGCAAGTTGTGTTGTGTAGTCAGCTGTGTTGTGTACTAAGTGACCGGGTGGCTCTGGGACAAAGCACCGTCAGCAGCGCTGATATATTGGGGGTCACATCCGGCAGCCACCCGTAAACCAACCAGGTCCTCAACTGTGGCAATTGATGGGCTTACTAAGGTCTGTACAAAAACCCGTCATTTTAAATGTTTGGTTTGCTTAGATTGGCCTCATTGCAGCTTTTTGAGAATTGAAATGATAAATCAGCCCTGATGGAGATGCAGCAAAAACCACTCTTTGAATTAATAGGTCACTTGAAGTTCTGTTTTCTGACACTTGGTGGTGCACTGCCGTTGGCAGGCGTTTACTCGTCTCCTCGACATCGTAACATTGTAATATTCCTTGCTTTTATCCGTTTAGGAGGAGGAGAAGGAGTTGAAAGTAGAAATAAAGGACGCGGATGAAAGTGCAGCCAGTGGTGCGGTGTCAGGACTCTCCTCTGACCTCAAGCGTCTCAACATCCAACACGATGCATGGGCAGAGAACGAGAATGGCGGCAGCAGCAGCAGTAGCAGCAGTTCGGACTCGGAAAGCGAGAGCGAGTCTTCTGACAGCGAAAGTTCAGACAGCAGTAGTAGTGAATCTACAGACGGGAGCAGCAGCAGCAGTAGCGAATGTGAGGACGAAGCTGTTGGCACTACCGAGGCCAACTTTGATGCCATGAAACATCAAGAGGCTGCGATGTCGGCATCGGATGTCTCGGATCAGGGTGAGGCCCCTTCTCTGGACATCCAGGCAAGGGGAGCGGCAGAGAACCGGGCGGCGTTGGGTGAAGCGCGCGAGTCTGCGGTGCTCGCACGATCTCCCCCGACTCAAAAAAATAGCCGTATGCACGAGGGAAGTCCACGGGACACTCGCAACCCGACCGGGATTGACCAAAGGCAGCCAGGCATCGGCGCTGGCCCCCCACCGGAGGTACGCCAGTTTCTGGAAGTGAAACCAAAAGCGGAATTCCTCAAGTTGGTCGAAATGCCTGTGGCCTTGGGCCAGCTGGAGGAGGGGTACGAGGCAGAGCGATGCGAGGAACCGAGGAGACGACCGCTCATCGAAGAATTGTGACATTTGCATGGAAATAGCGTCGGATAAAAAAGCCTTGCTCGTCGCGCGGAGTTACTACGCTCTTGACAGGAGCTACAATCGGCAAATCCGCAATCTGCAGGCTCGGAGGCATATGGGAAAAACGAGGGTTTGATTCACGGTCTGTAATATGACACCCCCCCCCCCTTTCATTGTATGTTACCTGATATAAACCCAAACATTAAACGGTATTTTGAGTGTAAAAAAATGCGATTAATATTTTATTGTGTAAAATATAACTTTGGATGGTAAATGTATAGAATTGTAGTGTACAGTACTGTACACGTATCCACGTACAATACTGTATACTGCATGATAAAACAATTGTGTGGTTTAACCCCTTTAGCCCCACTGGACGCTGGAAAACACCACTTGGCCTTGGAAGATGGAGACAAGATGGCACTGTTCTTAGGGGCCGCCCATAAATGACGTCACACGATTTTGTACGATTTTTGAACCCCGCCCCCTTCGTCACACGGCGTCACAAAAAGTCAGACCCCCCCCTCAAATATGACGTCACAAAGCTTTGCCCCCCCCCCAAATTTTTTTTTTAAACATGCTTCAAATCGCTTTAAACTATTGTCATTGTAGTGCGTATTTAATGTGACGCTGCACTCTGATGTTGTAGGATAAAATCTACTTAATTAAGTAGAACGTGTTGTCTATATTTATTTAAAGTTACGCATTTTGATGTGACGTCACATTTTCCAAACACCCCCCCCCCTCGTCACACCTCGTCACAAATGTCTGACACCCCCGCCCCCCTAGGTGCGTGACGTCATTTATGGTATGCCCCTTACTCGGCAGCATCTTCGCGAGCAGCACAGTTATGATGCACGTAGGAATCTCGTGGTCGATCCACATGGGGCGCAATCAGTGAACTGTGCCCCACAATACATTTTGGTGCAAAATCACTGTCGCTTAAGCCGCGAGACACGGGTTTGCTATATTTCATTGCCCTGGTGTGTTGTGAAATAAAAATGATAACGTCCGTTTAATATTGTATTGTAATAAAACTTGTATTTTCGTTTAATAAATTGCCAATGAAAATCTGTGTGTGATCGGTCATATCACGAGCCAAAGCATCGTGCAAATAGGCGATGTTCTGTATCAGTAGCCACCAGAGTGGAGTGTTGTCACATCAGGAAAGCCACTGCACTCGTTTTCATTAAATCAGAGCTTGCTTGGTTTTACACCGCCAGTAAATTAACATAGCAAATCCTCTTGAAAAGGTCGCTATTAAATTGGCTTCAGTTTAATGTTACCGCTCTTTATTAAAGAATCGTGTGTAATACCTTTTAAAGTGGTCGAGAGATGAGGTATATAATGAGGACAAAAGTGATAGTGCTCGCTTATATTATGCTCTTAGTTTTTTCGGTAAAGTCACGTAGGTAAAAAATGAAATTAAAAATAAAATAATAAAAATCACGACGTTTCGGAGGCAACACAAGTCTCCGTCGTCAGGTGGGACCGTCACAGCCAGATTTTCTGTATCTAAGTATGAATCCTTGCAGTCACGAAAGCTTCAAATCTAGACTCGCTTATATTCTTGGGTCTGTTCGGTAAAGTCACGTAGATGGGTTCATCTTTACCGAAAGAGCCAAGAATATGAATTCCTGCAGTCACGAAAGCTTTAAGTCAAGTGCTGGTTTTATATAATACATATTTGAATTCATATGGCGTTTTAATAGATGCATCCAGAGGTTGCCGGTTTGATCTTCCGATATGGCAGCTGAAACAATAGGCAATTTAAATTCCGCCTACGGTCCACTCAGTCGTGTCAACGGGTACATCACGCTGTCGATTGGCAGGCCACGTGTGGCTAGGTTTAAAGTGTGGACGTTTCCACCAAGCCGTGGTTCCAGCGTGAACGAGAGAGGAGGCCAAATTCCGTTCATTGGAGGCCCTTCCACCACATGCAGTGTAACACAATTTCTGCGCTACATATTTGCCTTTTTGCCTTCACGTTATGACTAAATACCCAAGCAACGCTGTGTGACCTGTACAGAGCACGTGTAAAAATATAAACACGCGTTAGGACAGAATAAAAATAGTGATAGCATTTAAGTGGGCAGATTGAGCAGAATTCCAACCTGACCTACAAGCCATCTCATCCACCTCAAACATCGCAAATGGTTTCGATGTAAAGCTTTCGTGACTGCAGGGATTCATCTTCTTGGTTCTTTCGGTAAAGTCACGTAGAATGGAAATAATAAAATAATAAAAATAAACCAATAAAATAATTCTCACGACGTTTCGGCCACAACGCAAGCAGCCGTCATCAGGTGAAGTACAGGTCTGTCGAGAAGACAGAGTCTCTGTCTTCCGATTGCAGACAGAGACTCTGTCTTCTCGACAGACCTGTTCTCCACCTGATGACTGCTGCTTGCGTTGTGGCCGAAACGTCGTGAGAATAATTGTATTTTTATTATTTTATTATTTCCATTCTACGTGACTTTACCGAAAGAACCAAGAAGAAGATCGCAAAGGGTGTTTCGTGGTGCTACAATATCACCGCTTGTGTGGTTTTACAGCAATTGATGATGATTGGTCTCATGAATGATCGGCGAGATGTCTCTCGTAGAGCGAGCGGCTTACAATGCAATCGGAAGGTTGGGGATCTGACTCGGCGCATCGTCCATCTGACAAAAAACAGTTCCGTTTCGTGGGGAAGTCAACAGCGGTGGATCTATGGATATACTTGCCACCCCACCCCTCGCCACGGGAGTGTGGCATTTCCAGCAGTGGCTTAGCTGTAAGCAGGGGATGAGTCCCGCCTCGGTGACCATTTGAGCAGGAAATCACATTGGAACGGTTATGGAACCATGCAGCTTCTCCATGTGTTTGAAGTTGCATTGAAATCCTGCCCGTTCTCAGCGATATAAACCCAGCGACGTTATTATGTTTTTAAATCCTTTATATTAAGTTCGCTTGCGTGCTTGCTTGCTTGCTTACGACCGTGCAAACCTTTCGGTCGTTTTTTAACCCACTTCCCGTGATCCAATCGAGCTGACATTTTGCACACAGACTCGTTGTGCGAGACAATTAATGTTCGTGAAATTTTTTTTCCAAAATTTTACACTGTCTAGGAAAAACAAATTAAATATTTAATTACCAATTGTTTAATACTGCAGACAATCATCTGACCCATAGGTGGCAGCCATCTCAAGCCAGAGGACGAGAGGACTCTAGCCGCCACGCATATAAAGGATTTAGATTGAAAAACTTTGTTTTTACGGGTTATACTTATTTTAATCAACGCACTAGGGGGCAGCACTTTGCCACGCAGCCTACTAAATAGTAACGTGTGTACATGACGATCGATGTTTGTTATCCTTCTCGCTGTATTTTATCCAAATTGTGACGGGGAAAAAAACCGTGATGAGATTTGTTTTTTTTTGTGGTCGCTTATTGGTGACAGGGTTGAGATCATCGCCTACACTTGAGGACTCGGTTTTAATCATGAGTGGCTGCCCACGTTTGACCCCCAGGATCTCGCCGATGCAGCCTCTGTGCTCTGACCCGTATGACCACCTGCCCACTTCCCTTATTTGAATCTCTAAAATTAATTAAAAGATGCACCGCTCGATTTTAAGAAGCTTACTCACATTTTTTGCCGTTTACCATTTCTCCAAGAAGCGCCGGATCTACTCAAATAAAAACAAGCATGGGAGGTATTTATTTACGTGAAAACTACAATAAAAATTTGTCGATTTAAAGCTTTCGTGACTGCAGGGATTAATCTTCTTGGTTCTTTCGGTAAAGTCACGTATAAGGGAAATAAACAATTATTTTAATCTATTATCCTACCAATACTTTCCAGCTGATTTTGGGGGGTTTTAAGCAGCCAAACTGGACTGCTTTTGACTCCTCAGCAGTTTCTGTTGCATGTTAAATGCTACCATGCATCCATGGAATAGACGATGGTCATGGCCTTGATTTCACGCGTTTCTATCACTGAATATAATGCAATAGATATGGCATGGTTTTTGGATTATCTCAAAGGATGGAAACACTGGTTGCTGTGTTTTATACCACAGTTGCTGAACACAGGCTCAAAAGCCCCAAATGCCCAGCAGTCCACACCGAACAGCAATATTTATGAGTTCGCACCTTTGTCGAATTGAGCAAGGTTAGACAAATTGTCAAGAGAGATCATGGGAGTGAATTTCAAACGCACGCACTGCAAAAAACGCCAAAAGACAACTGTTTAGACCTGCAGCATGGTGGTTGAACACAGTGAGGATGAGACAAAATGGTCAGTCTGGTAGACTTTGAGTCTTGAACATGGGTGAAGAAACGAAAGAGTTCATGGGAGCAGTAACAATTTAAGTAGCGAATGCAAGAGTGATAAGGAGGTGGACTGACCACTGGTGAGCGAGTGAATGGAGTAAGTCGGTGAAGGGTGGACCATAAATCAACATGACTGCTTGACTTTGAATTCTATCAAGTAAGTCTGCCTGTAAGAATGGGCTCCAGAAAGGTCAACGAGCAGCCAGTGATCCAACGCTGTCCCCTGTCGCCTTGTCCAAGCCGCGCCTTTAAACCATAGCCACAGTCCACTGGGGCTCATGGATGCATTACTCACCGGTGGCATTAGTTGGCTTTGATTTTAAACACTCATACCTTGTGGAACGTCTGCCGGCCACGGCTGGGGGTGCGATCAATAAGGATAATAGCGGTTCCTTCGTCCCAAGCTCTGTCATCAATTTGGAGGCTTAATCCTGGAGGGAATGTCTGAGCACCCACTCGTAACACCTGGAGTGGTGTGCTGCAAAAAAAAAGCAATTGGAATGATTCATTAATATTGAGTTGTGAAAAAGAATGGGGAATCTTGTATTGGTTGCAAGAATTAGCATATTTTGAGCATGTATTTCCACCAAAGAATACTTAGGGGGGTAGAGTTGAAATGGCAGTGTAATATGGTAAATGAAATCGAGTCACTTATAGATAATTACTTTATATATGGTTCTTAAGAAGTGAGTGGCGAAACATATGGAAACTGTACTTCAATCGCCATCGGCATAGGCCATTATCTGTCCACTGCTGGATGAAGGCCTTACCAAAATCATCACCATCAATAAAGGTCTTGTGATGCAACAATCCATATAGCTCCTGCAACCGAGCTGATTTTCATCACTCCGTCTCCGCAGTGCACGACCTGCCAGGCGTGTTCTCTCCTTTAGCTGCCGCTCCGTTGTTAGCCTCTACCACAGGCCTACAACCCTGTTGGTGATGTGTCGTGCTCAAGCCCCTAAACAGTCAATTCGATGTTCGTCTTGGCTATGTGATCCTATGAATGCTCCTTTTTCGCACTTCTCAGCTTTTTGTTCAGTTTTGTAAAACGTGTGTCAGTGTCCACGTTTATGATCGATATGTCAAAGCAGGTAATACGCACGGATTTCGGATGTTTCTTCTTTGGGCAGGCATTGCTTTTCATTAAGTTCAGCTTCCCAAAAGCTCTCCAAACTGCCGCTGTCCACCTCTACTTCATAAATGTAATCCTGGCTCCACCTTCAATAATTGCCCAAGGTACACAAACTCACTCGAATGTCTTCTTGGTTCTTTCGGTAAAGTCACGTAGAAGGGAAGTAATAAAATAATAAAAATAAAACATAATAAAATAATTCTCACGACGTTTCGGCCACAACGCAAGCAGCCGTCCTCAGGTGAAGAACATGTCTTCCCTTTTACGTGACTTTACCGAAAGAACCAAGAAGATGAATCCCTGCAGTCACGAAAGCTTTAAATCGAAATTTCACTCGAATGTGTTTTCCACGTGTGTCCCTCCGTGACGTACCTTCAACTGTTGAGTGAACTGACATGTTTTTTGCAAATTTTATCTTGAATCTCACTTTTATGCTTTCATTATAACGTTTTTTTTCGATCATTGTACGTATTTCATTTCCATTGCCTGTCACCATGAGTCATCAGCAATCGCCACACGCAAGAAGAAGACATGCGTCATCCGCAAATCGGAGGTGGTTAATGTTTTCTCAACTTACATTTATAGCCATTGCATGAATCTATATTGTTCACAAAGAACGTTGGGGGAGGGAAACAGACGAATTGAAAATGTAGAGAACCAACAAACCACACACGAGCAGGCTGGGATTCTGAAA